TGACGCCTTTGTTCTAAGCAATCTCATCTCGTATCATACCTATTGCAGGTGTGATGTAAACTGTAAACACTACTTTGTCAGTTGAGAGTAAAATTAAGATCTATCCCATCTTGCAGCCTTACATTGTTGACAGAAATTACGTGTTATATTCTGCTATCATACATTGTTGACAGTAATTACATGCTATATTCTGCTATCATACATTGTTGACAGCAGTTACATGTTATATTCTGCAATCATACATTGATAACAACAGTTACATGCTATATTCTGCTATCATACATTGTTGACAGTAGTTACATGTTATATTCTGCAATCATACATTGATAACAACAGTTACATGTTATATTCTGCTATCATACATTGTTGACAGCTGTTACATGCTATATTCTGCTATCATACATTGTTGACAGCAGTTACATGTTATATTCTGCAATCATACATTGATAACAACAGTTACGTGCTATATTCTGCTATCATACATTGTTGACAGTAGTTACATGTTATATTCTGCAATCATACATTCATAACAACAGTTACATGCTATATTCTGCTATCATACATTGTTGACAGCTGTTACATGTTATATTCTGCTATCATACATTGTTGACAGCAGTTACATGCTATATTCTGCAATCATACATTGATAACAACAGTTACATGCTATATTCTGCTATCATACATTGTTGACAGTAGTTACATGTTATATTCTGCAATCATACATTGATAACAACAGTTACATGCTATATTCTGCTATCATACATTGTTGACAGTAGTTGCATGTTATATTCTGCTATCATACATTGTTGACAGCAATTACATGTTATAGTCTGCTACCATACATTGTTGACAGCAATTACATGTTATAGTCTGCTACCATACATTGTTGACAGTAGTTACATGTTATAGTCTGCTACCATACATTGTTGACAGCAATTACATGTTATAGTCTGCTACCATACATTGTTGACAGCAATTACATGTTATAGTCTGCTACCATACATTGTTGACAGCAATTACATGTTATAGTCTGCTACCATACATTGTTGACAGCAATTACATGTTATAATCTGCTACCATACATTGTTGACAGCAATTACATGTTATAGTCTGCTACCATACATTGTTGACAGCAATTACATGTTATAGTCTGCTACCATACATTGCTGACAGTAGTTACATGTTATATTCTACTACCATACATTGTTGACAGCAATTACATGTTATAGTCTGCTACCATACATTGCTGACAGCAATTACATGTTATAGTCTGCTACCTTACATTGTTGACTGCAATTACATGTTATAGTCTGCTACCATACATTGTTGACAGCAATTACATGTTATTTTCTGCTACCATACATTGTTGACAGTAGTTACATCTTATAGTCTGCTACCATACATTGTTGCCAGCAATTACATGTTATAGTCAGCTACCATACATTGTTGACAGCAATTACATGTTATAGTCTGCTACCATACATTGTTGACAGATGATATATGTTATAGTCTGCTACCATACATTGTTGACAGCAATTACATGTTATAGTCTGCTACCATACATTGCTGACAGTAATTACATGTTATAGTCTGCTACCATACATTGTTGACAGCAATTACATGTTATAGTCTGCTACCATACATTGTTGACAGCAATTACATGTTATAGTCTGCTACCATACATTGTTGACAGCAATTACATGTTATAGTCTGCTACCATACATTGTTGACAGCAATTACATGTTATAGTCTGCTACCATACATTGTTGACAGATGATACATGTTATAGTCTGCTACCATACATTGTTGACAGCAATTACATGTTATAGTCTGCTACCATACATTGCTGACAGTAATTACATGTTATAGTCTGCTACCATACATTGTTGACAGCAATTACATGTTATAGTCTGCTACCATAGATTGTTGACAGTAGTTACATGTTATAGTCTGGTACCACACATTGTTGACAGCAATTACATGTTATAGTCTGCTACCATACATTGTTGACAGTAGTTACATGTTATAGTCTGCTACCATACATTGTTGACAGCAATTACATGTTATAATCTGCTACCATACATTGTTGACAGCAATTACATGTTATAGTCTGCTACCATACATTGTTGACAGCAATTACATGTTATAGTCTGCTACCATACATTGTTGACAGCAATTACATGTTATAGTCTGCTACCATACATTGTTGACAGCAATTACATGTTATAGTCTGGTACCACACATTGTTGACAGCAATTACATGTTATAGTCTGCTACCATACATTGTTGACAGTAGTTACATGTTATATTCTGCTATCATACATTGTTGACAGCAATTACATGTTATAGTCTGCTACCATACATTGCTGACAGCAATTACATGTTATAGTCTGCTACCATAGATTGTTGACAGCAATTACATGTTATAGTCTGCTACCATACATTGTTGACAGTAGTTACATCTTATAGTCTACTACCATACATTGCTGACAGCAATTACATGTTATAGTCTGCTACCATACATTGCTTACAGCAATTGCATGTTATAGTCTGCTAGCATACATTGCTGACAGCAATTACATATTATATTCTGCTACCATACATTGTTGACCGCAGTAACATGTTATATTCTGCTATCATACATTGTTGACATCAGGTACATGTTATAGTCTGCTATCATACATTGTTGACAACAGTTACATGTTATATTCTGCTATCATACATTGTTGACAACGGTTACATGTTATATTCTGCTATCATACATTGTTGACAACAGTTGCATGTTATTTTCTATTATCATGCATTGTTGACAACAGTTACATGTTATATTCAGCTATCATACATTGTTGACCGCAGTAACATGTTATTTTCTGCTATCATGCATTGTTGACAACAGTTACAACATCTAGTGTATAGTTCACAGCGATTATGTATGTCATAGTGCCGTCATGTACTGTTGAAAAAAGTTGTCTGTCTGATCATAATGTTTATCTCTCTGATCAAGGTCTTGAATTAATTGTTACTTCTCTCTTTGTGTTGGGCAATCATTGATGTTGTCACCTGTAATATTGGGTCATCACAGCTTCGTGGTGAATGTTTACAGTCATTTCTTCCTCACAACTCCAAAACACAAGCCATATTATTCTCAACAACTTTTATTTGCATATAAATACATTAGCTTATCTGTGCGTATCTATTCACATAAATGAAAGTTTTAAACAATCAGCAACGTGTTGAAGTCGAACCTCGAGTTTTTCGTCTTTCGCAAAACCTGATGCTCCAGCGTGTTTGCTTCCTGTACAATACGTCCAAGACATCACATGTGCGGCTCTAGGCAGACAGATATATTTTCTGGAACGACCCTGCCGAGAAAGAGAGTTTGTCGTTATTGTTTTTCGGTTCCTACTTCCAGTGAAGAAGTGTTTTAATACTTCAAGGTACAAAGTTTAATTTTAATAGCCGCTTTCTAAACATAAAACTAAATCATTTATGCAATGCAATGGATTTTTTATCTCAAACCTACGGGGACAAAGGTTAGCATGAGTGAGTGAGTTTAGTTTTATGTCGCCTTTAGCAATACTCCAGCAATATCACCAGAAAGGGGCTTCACACTCTGGAGGCATTGGGGGAATCTAACTCGGGTCTTCGGCGCGTCGAGCAAATGCTTCAACCACTAGGTTACTCCCATCGCACCAACACACCATATTTAATTGCATCGTGTGACCTGGTTATTTTTGCTTCCCAACGGCAAGCCAATGTTTGTTTATTTATTTATCGTTCAAAGCCATACTCAACAATGTCGAACTTCATGATGGCAGTCTGTTAATAATCGAGTCTGGACCAGAAAATCCAGTGATTTACATCATGAGTATCGACCTACGATGAACTTGCGAGACAGGTTTGTAACTGTTTCTGCGGTCGCAATGTTTATTCACCACAATTTGTAACATGGATAAAAAAATGAAGTTTAGCCTTAAGTGTCTCGGCAGGATAGTGCCGTACAAAGGCGAGACATCGAATGTTGTGATAAATGGACTTTGTACTCTTCTAAGATTGTAAGTAAAATGTCACATGCTTTGATTTTTTTTGAGAACTAAACACCATTCACTCATTCATTACACATGAGACCAGAAAAAAGTAAGTGATACATGTGGTGTGTTAACTCCTATCTTCTTTTGTGTCAGGGGTGTATGTTCAAACTCATCCGCCCCGTTCTTCTCTCTATACACGCTGCATAGTGGTTCCGTTTTCTAAAATACCGCCATGTTGATTTGACTCCCTTAGGTATACAAGAATCCACTGTTTGTGGGTTCGAATTTCAGGTCATAATCACTACATGGGCAGTGTCCTCGTGGACAACTTTATCATGCCATGCAGTCTTCCCTCGTCAATTTGACCTAAATATTGTCCGTTAAAATACTGACTCGGTGTCTCGAAAAGTTGTGAAAACCTATTTCCTTCAGTATTGCCATCACTCGCTCTTTCCTTCAGTAATATGTATGCATGCACAGTGATAAGTTTATCATTTCACGAAACGGCAGCTTGGATAATTATTGTTCCCGATAATGAGTAAGCATGCCGTGTCACTACCTACATGATGAAATCGTGAATATCACCAATGCTTGCCGTAATAGACTACTGTCGTGATGGGGTAGTCAGATTCGCTGACTTAGTCATCGTATCCAATTTGCATAATTTGTTTGTGATATAAAGATGACAAAACTTCAAGGATGATCAACTTCTTCATTTTCACAATGGTGATGTTTCGGTATAGCTTCTCATATTGTGAAAATGCAGAAGTTGATCATCCATAAATTGTTGTCATCCCCACTTGCGTAGATCGATACCCATGATGTCATCCCCACTTGCGTAGATCGATACCCATGATGTCAATGACTGGATTGTCTGATCAGCTTATTACAGATCGATATCATGTAGGTCGATCATTTCTAAAGGGGGCTTTAAACATCACACATATACACACATTTCAATGATGCGCCTTACCTGCATTGTAGCACAGGTGACGCACAGAACACTCTGATTAGGAACTCCTTGTTTATCCCCTTTTTCTCTGTGGAGGGAACTGCGAGATAACGCCCTGGTTTGAGCTTGAATCGGAAGTTGGTGTGCAATCGCGGGAGGTAGTGGTTGTTTCTAGCTGAGTTTTCAATCTTCAGAACGTGGAGAGTTTTGGTTTTCTCATCCACACGTTTAATCTACAACACAGAAAAGAGGTAATGTACGTGGTACTGTAATCTATATCACAAATAGAGGACAGGAGAGGTGCGGACTTCTAAAGCAAGAGTGGAAGGTTGTGTTCTTGAGGTGTGCTAAAATTCGATTCGAAACGAGATCGAATTCCAGATCTATCGCGATTATATATATTTGGCTTGTCATAAAAAAAACCCCAATGTTTCTGAGTTTCGCCCAAGTGGCATATGTAAAGTACTTTTGGCTTTTCAGACACATCAAGGATACTCTATTTTTTTACAATGAAGAGCTGGATCTGTTAAATCAGAATTGATGGAGCAACAGGAAAAGGAAATAACATTCATTCATTCAGTCAGTGAAGAACACAATGACTGAAGCTACTTACCCTAAAAAGATCACAATGCATGCTGTCATTTTGAAGAGTTTCCGTTTTCTGAACAAGTTGCAAAAACAAAGGAACATAACCGTCTTTAGCAAGTCCTGCAATGGATAGGAATATGCAACAGATCAAATAGGACAGGTGACAGGTTTGATGAAATGTCATCATCAACTTCACCATTGGCAACTACGCTCCAGCAAAACAAATATTTTCGTTAAACGCAACGTAATAGTAATAGTAATACTCCGCTTATATGGCGCTCATATCCAGGTACATTGCCTGCTCACGGCGCTACGTACATTACTGACTGACTGCCTGAGTTTGGTTTTACGCCGCTTTTAGCAATATTCCAGCAACATCACGGCGGGGCACACCAGAAATGGGCGTCACACATTTTACCCATGTGGGGATTCGAACCCGGGCCTTCGGCGTGACGAGCCAACGCTTTAACCACTAGGCTACCCCACCGCCCCCGTACATTACTGTCCCCGATCATAGGGCACTATCGTAATTTCCGACACTTTTTCAACTCCCTGGGGACCATACAGCCATGCTGCCTGTTTATGCGCAATGAACTAAACACTCACATTGCCAGCACATCATCACGGGTACCTATTATACAATTGGTGTGAATACCTTCACTGTTTATGGTGAACTGAAATCTTGGGTGTTGTAGTCTCTCTTGAACATTTCTCCCTCTTCCAGCTGCAGTATGCCCCTTCCATTCGCCATATATCTTCAGAGCATATTCTGAAGGAAATTCACATTTAGGGTCAGTGCACGAGCAATTCAAATACAAAACCATCAGTAAGACCACAGTGAGTGAGTTTAGTTTTACGCCTCTTTCAGCAACATTCCAGTAATATGACGGCGGGGGGCGCCAGAAATAGGCATATTGTGCCCATGTGTGGAATCGACCCTGGGTCTTCGGCATGACGAGCGAACGCTTTAACCACTAGGCTACCCGCCGCCCCATTAAGACCTAAGATTACAAATAACATCATGACACACTGCTACTCCTGATGTTTTCCGTGCTGTTTTGAGCTTCTATTGGGGGTGGATTCGTATAGTACAGTATGCACATGGGTTGTTCGATTCATATCGCCGCCTGAAAACCAGAGTGTACTAAGTCACAAAATCGTATTTTCGAGAAATTCGATCTGGAAGTTTAGGACAGCAGTATCTTCTGAGCTATTTAATTAAATTCTTTCAAATTGTGTACATGCATGTGACACGTCAAACAGTATCAGAAAATAGCAAATTGTATGCTCAATCTATTGAAATAAATAAGGAATTCACGAAAAATGACTGGAGATAGAACACTTGACCAAAAAAATCGTGATACTTCTCAAAACCAAAGTGTTCTAAGTGTCAGAAACACAGCTAAATCTCAGCCTTATTATTATCATATGGATATTTGATTGTTATTTCTTCGTTACCAGGTTGTATTTGTGTCCTTTGAACCTGTTTTACTTTCATACGGACTATATTCAATGAAATAGAGCAGAATTAAGAACAGAGTTAAAATGTTCCATTTCCATGATGAAAATCACTTCAAAATTGGTAAATCTCAATGTTACGTGATCAAATTGTGCTTGCTCATTGGTCAATTGACATCTTAGAACACATAAAAACTAACAACATGTGATTTTTCATGCATGTAGAACAAAGTTTGTGTTGAAAAAATACTTTCAAAGCGAGATAGCACTGTTGCTAGAGTAATAGTATGATCGTGGTAGTTTTAGTGCATAATCTAACTCTCATTTTGTCAAAAGTGGTCTTAGAACACTCTGTTTGAGTGGCATTTAGAAGTTGGTGTGATGAACAACGAGGGGAGTTGTATGGATATACAACTTAGCTTGTCCCGGGTTCGATTCCCCACATGGGTACAATGTTGTTGTGTCCTCCGCCGTGGTAGTGCCGGAATATTGCTTAAAGCTTCGTAAAACTAAACTCACTCACTCACATATACTATTACAATGATATTGTGGGAAAATTTACATAATGTCGTCACTCACTCTTGTGAAATGACTGCCCCTTTCCGTAACCTCCAAGAAGACTCGTCCCCATCTCTATGAATATTATGTGCGAAAATACGACAAACCGATGAGAATGCGTACAAGGTTTAAGGTTCGAAGTACTTTGACAAAAAATAATCCCAAGTACTTCAATCATTTATGGCATTTTGTGACTGTTTAAAAAATAGCTTACTATGTTTTTGTAACAATGTTTGTGTAACAATTGCCTTCTTGTGTAAACATCCTCCAACCTTGTACATCTTCCTCATTAATTGTGCAAACATCAATCACTTACTGTTCAACTTTACTATGTATATATATATACCTTGCCTCTAGTATTGTACATCATTTGCTTGATAACGGTGTTAGTAGCTACACCGAAAGGTCGCTCATATTATATTAAAGAACTTGTATATCCATAGAGCTCTCCTCGTTGTTAGAACACTCTGGATTTCAGGCGATGATATATCAAATTCAATAAACCGCAAAGACCTCATAGTCAAACCTGAACTAGATAAGCCGATGCCTCAACTGCCGATGTGTCTTTAAATGTCAAACTCACCCCAACCCCATACAGAGGCAAAACATCACATTGAAATAGTCAAAACAATATTGCGTCTAGACAGAGTTAATGACAGTAGAACGATGTCATGTGTCACACAATGCCACAAACATGTGCAATAATGTGTCAAAATGAGAATAACTCTGTAATGTTTATCCACTATGGCGTACATCTTGTTTGTCAGAAACTGTCCTTTTAAGTATTGTGAACTCACGTCACAGCGTCATGTGAAATGGGAGCGGTGGGGAAGCCTAGTGGTTAAAACGATCGCTCGTCACGCCGAACACCCGGGTTCGATTCCCCACATGGGTACAATGTCGCTGTGTCCTCCGCCGTGGTAGTGCCGGAATATTGCTTAAAGCTTCGTAAAACTAAACTCACTCACTCACATATACTATTACAATGATATTGTGGGAAAATTTACATAATGTCGTCACTCACTCTTGTGAAATGACTGCCCCTTTCCGTAACCTCCAAGAAGACTCGTCCCCATCTCTATGAATATTATGTGTGAAAATACGACAAACCGATGAGAATGCGCGCAAGGTTTCAGGTTCGAAGTACTTTGATAAAAAAATAATCCCAAGTACACTCTCTCAAAAAAGAAACGCAACCCCTATCTAAATATCTGACATCATTTCTAGAATAAAGATGGTGAATGTAAATTAGAATTTTCTTCAAAATACTGTTAATACGTTCCCATCTGATCAGTATAAGCTCCCAAACGGAACCATTTTCACACATGATGACCTTTGTATCCGTGTTATTTGAGAAAGTGCGAAATTGTCATGTACAAAATGCTAAAAGCCTGTTGCACGTGCAAATCGTTGAAAACACAGTTCATGTAGAGGGTTTTAAAAGCACGCGTAGTTTGTAATTTTTCTCTCATAATTTGCTCTGCAAATCAAGTTCGAAAATGCCCCGTTTGAGTACAGCAAATCGAAATATTGCCATTGGTCGCATTGAGGCCGGGGAAAGCTTTGGAACAGTTGCCCGTCATCTAAACGTACACAAAACAACAATCTCACGACTTTGGAATCGTTACACACAGTTCCATGCAATTGAAGATCGTCCCAGGAGCGGTAGACCTAGGATCACCACACCGGCTCAGGATCGCTTTATTCGACTCAGCCACCTACGTAATCGGCATGCCACACCCACCATCACTGCAACACAGGTGCCAGGTTTGAGGAGAGTATCGGCCCAAACCATCAGGAACCGTTTACATGAGGCAAATTTACGTGCAAGAAGACCAGTTGTTGGGCCCGTCTTGAAACGCCAACATCGACGCCAACGTCTCAGGTGGTGTACTAACGTAAGGAGATGGACCCTAAGAAACTGGAGAAGAGTCTGGTTTAGTGACGAGTCTCGTTTTCTTCTTCAACGACGTGACGGTAGACAACGTGTCTATAGACGAGCAAATGAACGTTTTGCACCGAACTGCGTTCGACAGGTCGACAGATTTGGAGGAGGAAGCATCACGGTATGGGGAGCCATGTCTTACAACCAACGGTCAGACTTGGTCATCATTCGTGGCAATTTGACGGCACAACGGTACATTGATGACGTCTTACAGCCACATCTTCTGCGGTTAATCGACCAACAGAGGGAGTTGTTTCAACATGACAATGCCCGCCCTCATACAGCTCGTGCAACAGTGGCATTCTTACAGAATTCAAACGTCAACGTGATGCCGTGGCCCTCCAGATCGCCAGACATCAATCCTATCGAACATCTGTGGGACCAGCTGGATCGTCGTGTTCGTGCACGTACACCACAACCGCACACGTTGGTTGAACTGGCCGCAGCACTCCAGGAAGAGTGGAGAGCAATCCCCCAGGAAAACATCCGCCGTCTGATTCGTTCTGTTCCGAGGAGGTGCACTGCTGTGATTAGAGCTCGTGGCTCTACAACGAGATACTGAAGACAACGCCCCCTAGCGTAAATTGAGAGTTCGATACTGACCTGCATTAACTGTTACCTTATACCGTGCTGACCTAAGGTTCACCATGTCAAATTTCATGGCATTATCTTTAAAATACAAATGTAATAACCAGTTAAAATTGATATAAACATTACCAAAAAAAACAGGGGTTGCGTTTCTTTTTTGAGAGAGTGTACTTCATTCGTTTATGGCATTATGTGATCGTTTAAAAAATCGAAATATATATACATGTGTATACATAAATGTGAGAGATTCAAATACACACGTGCGTTTGTTTACATCACGGGTCTCATGTTTCCAATTAAGTCTCTAACGATCTGAGAGGGTACGTAAGTCCCAAAACTTTCAAAGTTGAATTTAAGCTTACCAGGTTTTTAAACGTAGTAGTTTTGTTCTTTTAATATTTGGCTAAACCTTTCCTACCATCGCCAGCAGCTGAGGGGATGATGTAAATCCAACTAGGGTCCATGCATGTAGCAAAGGTACTGTAAGTCCACATGGTCCCTAGTATGGTGACTTACCTTCAGTTGTCGACGATCTATAGCCTGTTTTTATATTGTATCGTCCTCTATAGTTTAAGTATTTTAGATTTCATTACTAGTCTAGTTGGTTTTACTGTCGACAGATATTTGAAATTGATTACCTTGTTTTCATCGCTATATGGCTGCAATATTGCCGATGCGATGTACAATTTGAACTCACTCACTCACTCTAACGATATTCCTGGCATGCGTAGCGGTGAGGTAGCCTAGCGGTTAAAGCGTTGGCTCGTCAATCCGAAGGTCCGGGTTCGATTCTCCACATTGGTACAATGTGTGAAGCCCATTTCTGGTGTCACCCGCCGTGATATTGCTGGAATATTGCTAAAAGCGGTGTTAAACCATATTCACTCACTCACTTCCTGCATGTTTTCGAGATTTTACCTGCCCTTCCCGACATGTTTTGGAAATGTAATTGTAGATATCAGCGAGTTTACAAAACGATATACTAATCAACAATCTTAAACGCTGTGATTACATTATACTTCACTCGGGTATTTTAGTCTGACGATTTTTGTAGTCCTTCATACATCTTTCATTCATTTTAAATTTCAACAGATTTTTTGCAGCAGTGTTATACAAGCAAGTTCCGACAACTGGTAGACATCCCCGTACAGCAAATCATGTTTGGGCTCTCCAGGTATTCTTTAGTTTCAGATTATTTTGAAACCTATTTTGTGTATCTAATTAGGATTTATAACAGCTGACACTCGTATTGGCAATTATGAAACCGCATTTTGAAGTATACATCTGGGAATATAAGGTGAACAGAATATGTTTTCAACAAATCATCATCATCGTAATTGTTTAAAACAGGTCAAAATATTTTAAAGGCCGAAACTTTTCAGTGCTTCAGAGCTGTTGATTACTGAGGGAATTAAACAGAAATAGAGTTCTTGTTTGAAGTAGGTCTCTATGTTTAAAGGCCAATATGAAATCCTCTCAGAAGGGCACGAATCTTTATTCGGTCACGAATGGTGAAATAATATTTGGGGAATAATTTGTTTGTTGTTCAACTCAGCACTATTTCAGATATACAAATGTAGAGAAATCAGTCTGGTCCACACAATCCAGTGATTAACAGCATGAGCATCGATCTAGGCAATTAGGATACGATGACATGTGTTGACCAAGTCAGCGAGCCTGACCACCCAATCCTGTTACTCGCCTCATACGACAAGCGTGGGTTGACCAATTCTAACCCCTATCTTCACGGGTTGAATGAAGAATGCTGTTACTATCGATGTAGTCTTGCAAAGACATTATATCAAGAATACATTTCTCGCAGGAAATTTAGGGTGTGTTTTTAAGCATGATCCATGAAACAGTACGTTGAAACATCATCAAGCATGTCACTGTGAGTGAGTGAGTTTGGTTCTATGCCACTTTTGTGGGGTATCGAAACCGGCGTGACGAGCGGACGCTTTAACCATAAGGCTACCCCACCGCCCCAGCAAATGAGTGAGTGAGTTAATATTTATCGTCACATCGGCAATATTTCAGCCATATCGTGACGAGAACAAATAAAAATCAGTAAAGATCAATAACATTAGAAGCTATAAACTGTTTACGATGAACAGTAAAACGACTTGTGTATACTATAATGCAAGACAATACAAGATAAAACCAGGCTGTAGATCGCCGACAACAGGAAGTTAATCACCATACCAGGGACCCCAGCAGGTAGAATCTTGTTTTCCTCTGTGGTAATGGTAGTAAAAATACATACTCATTGGCTTTGTGCTGCCATCTGCAATGCAATCTGGTCTTCGGCAACAGATCATTATCTGACTGAACTGCTGCAGGAAGTCCACAGCACTCATCCAGAATTCCCCATCTTCTCTGATATTGTGTATCTTGTCACCCTCCACCACCGTCATCCATTCAGAGCTCCTGAAAAACACCGATTATGAATCATAATCGCAGTCAGAGGACTTCCTTTATTTATGCTCGTCTGATCCTCTACAGACTTCCGTGAAGGTCCGTGTTAGAATTGATCTTCAGTAACCAATGCTTGTCGTAAGATGCTACTAGCGGGATCGGGTGGTCAGGCTTGCTGACTTGGTGGACACATGTTATCGTGTCCCAGTTGCGTAGATCGATGTTCATGCTATTGATCACTAGATTATCTGTTCCAGACTCGATTATTAACAGACCACCGCCATATAGCCGGGATATTGCTGAGTGCGGAATCAAACTAAACACACTCACTCACTCAATATACTTCCTGTGCAAACAGACACTTGTTATCAAAGGCATGGGCGATAATTTACTACTAGCTATGTGAGTCTGCTGTGATATATTTATAAATGAAAACCCGGGTGACCACTTTATTGACTGCCACCACGGGATACGAGAACATATGTGCACCAGGTCAGCGAGCTAAACACCCGATCCCGTTACTCGCCTCACACAACCAGCATGGGTAGGTGAGGACCAATTCTAGCCCGGATCTACACGGGTTAACATAATGAGACATAATGAATGCATATACAATTTATGATATGTACAACCTTGCATACACGTGGTGTTATGTATACGCCATGTTGGTTTCCTCTGTGTACGTATAAAAACTGATAACACAAGAATGTTCATCTGTTACCTACGCTGTAACGCTTATGTAGATTCAGACCGTGTGGGATTGATTCCCACCATCTCCAAACAATAACTAGTTGATTCCACTGTGAAGAAAGGCAAAATGTGGACAAATATATGAATGGGTCACTGAAAGCCCTGACCACAGCCTGACCAGCTCATCTTGTTAGTCGCTTCTACGACAAACATGGATGACTAACGATTCATTCTTACCCTGATTCCTTAACAAGTGGGCTATCAACTAAATGGAATTGAAAAAATAACTTACATGTCGCTCCACTTCCCCTTCCACTGGAAATATCCTTGAGGATTTCGGATCCTTAAAAGAGGAACCTTCTCTCCATTACGTCTTGTCACCTGAACATAACGTTGCCATGTGAACGCATTCACAGCATGACGTAATTTCGTGTACACATTCATGACCATGATGAACTAATATCAACATGACAGATTCTTGTGTAAGCATTGGCAACATGACATGACTGTCGGGAAGATAGTCGCATCATGATAGTGCCATTTGTAAAATGTTCTCATCATTACATTATCAGTTGTAAACGTTATCATCATAACATCATCATTTATGAAACGTTTTCATCATTACATGACCATTTGTATGATTTTCAAATAATATCATCACCATTTGTAAAACTTCATCATCATAACATGACCATATGTAAGATTTTTCTCATCATATGATTCTCAGTTGTAAAACATTCTTATCATAACATGACCATATGTAATTTTGTAAAACATTCTCATCATGACATGACCATATGTAAGATTTTTCTTATCATATGATCATCATTTGTAAAACATTCTCATCATAACATGACCATTTGTATGATTTTCACATAATATCATCACCATTTGTAAAACAGATCGGATAATAACCTTACAATATGTGAAACATTCCACCAATAACATGAACATTTGTATCTTTGTTTTCACATCATATTATCACCATTTGCAAAACCATTTGATTATAACATCGTCATTCGTAAAACATTCTCATATCATCACCATTTGTAAAACATTCTATTCAAAACATCACCAATTTTAAAACATTCCCATCATATCTTGGGGTGGTGGGGTAGCCCAGTGGATAAAGAGATCGCTCGTCACACTGAAGACCCGGGCTCGATTCCCCACTTGGGTACAATGTGTGAAGCACATTTTTGGTGTCCCCCGCTATGATATTGCTGGAATATTGCTAAAGGTGGTGTAAAGCTATACTCACTCAATCACTCCATCATATTATCACCATGTTAATTCATCAATTTAACATCACCATTTGTAAAACATTCTCATCATATCATCACCATGTTAATTCATCAGTGAATTTAACATTACCATTTCTAAAACATACCCATCATATCATCACCATTTGTAAATCATTCTGATAATAACTCACCATTTGAGGAACATTTTCATCGTAACGTCACCATTTGTTAAAGATTCTTATGATATCTTATGTACTGTAAAGGATTTCTGTATTCACGATGTAGCTGAACCACTGCTGATGTAACCTACCTTACTCACTCACTCACTCACGCTTTTGCAAAACATCATCAACATAACGCAATCATTTGAATAGCTTTCTCAACATGCCATCAACATAATGTTCACAATTTTAAAAAACCCTAAAATTTGTAATCTAAACAGAGAGTATGCCAATGGTTTGTTTATGTTTAGTGTGAAACAGAAAGTTTTAACTCGCAGAAGACTTGTGGGTGTTATAGAAGATAATATCCGTGGGGACAATATGATTTAAAGGTATGTTTATTCAAAATATGAACATGGTTTGGTGAACAAGCCGTTAGAGCTTACAGTTTACTTATAATAGACTTCTAAAATAGGTGTTACAGTATGTAGTAAAGTACTCAATGTGGGGGACAACTCTTACAGGCTTAAGAATGATTCTTACTACATCAAGCGTTATCTCCCCAGGTGTAACAGCCAGCTTCCTTTGTTGACATGACAGATTTGACAGCAGAAGGGTACAGAAAGCTGGTTCTAGATGATTTTGAAAGGGATGTGACCAATGCAAAAGAATCAGCTGGTAGACATGACTTTCCTCCGTCTACAGTATACAGAACTTAGAAAATTCAGTCAGAAGTTGAGATTGAGCATAAGACAGGGGCACATAGGCCAAGGAAGATTAGCACTACGGATCGTCGGCGACGTGGTCAGATTGTGAGTCGTGGAAAATTGAAAAGCGTTGAGAATATCACAAATGAGATGGTCAATAGAGGAAGTCTTGAGGTATGTAAAGAAACTCTGAAAAAGAGCGGAATTACCCCACCATTGATGAAAGATGCACAAAAAGAAAAACGTTTAAACTGGTGTAGGGCTCAAGACTGATATAATGTTTTCTTTTGTGATAAAAGTTCTGTCTGCCTTTTTCTGAACTGTGTGAAAATTTGGACAAATGATACAGTGAAACCTTTCTACCAACGCCCAAACCATAGCCCGAAATTTCACATGTTGGGTGGGATATCATCACGTGGAGTGACGCCGTTATGTATTTTCACTGGAAATATGACGAAAGATCGATATGTTGAAATCTTTTAAAATGATCACGTCCTTCAAACGGTCCGGACATTTAATGAATATAATTGGATTTTCCTGCATGATAACGACCCAAAACACAACAGTGGTTGTCGGATGAAAAGTTTTAGATTGGCCAAGCTAGAGAGCTCAGATCTTAACCCAATTGAGAATGTGTGGAACTAATGAAGGACAGAATAAACCAAAAAGGACTTAGAAATATTGAGTATACTGAAGAGAGAAGTGGCCGATCATTGGGGTATGCTGTCACACGATTTCCTACAAACTTTGATCGGTAGTGTACCTAAGCGCATTCAGTCGTGTGTTGCAGGGCACGGAGGTCTCACAAAGTACTGAAAGGACACTTAGTCTGTAAGAGAATCATATCTTAACATACTCATTTAACTAAAACGTCCATATTACGAGAGTGTTTTTTTTATCATTTGTAATATCACATGGATTAAGTGATAGTTATTATGGGTCACAATGTTTAATGTTTTGAGTGTGGGTGTTGGCTCGTATCTCGCATCATATATGTTCAATGCCAATAGTATTTTTAGCGGCACGACTTTTTGATAGCACTTCAGAGTTGCCTCCCTTGGCTGGCTTTATTTTGTTTTGACTTCCGGATCTTGTCATGTCGTGTGTTCGAGAAAATCCCGCATCGTTCTGAGAGAATAATCATGGAGCCTAGCCTATATAAAGGCTGGCTGTTGAGTAGTGCGCAGGGACTTTTCACATGACTGGATTTATACACATCTGTCTGGTCTGCCATCATTAAATTGTTCAACGTGCTTGTCTATTCAACTGCTGCCATTGTAAACAACCTTCAATCAGTATATTTGATCTCACTATGAATTTTAAGACTCTGGTGAGAACATGATATACGTTATAATACAAAATAACAACTGCACGTAGAACATATGCACAGAAGTACTGTGAAAATAAATCGATGTGATATGCATTTGCATTTTTATCTAAACCTACAGATCTATAGGTGTGCCTGAAATGCCTTATGGAAACAAAGAAATAACAATGTGGACTGAGATTGAAGATTTGCATGACATGAATAATATTTAACAAAAGACAATGACTATAGCTAATATCACAAACAGGATGATCAAAATGTAAATTAAAAAACAAATACAAACCAAACGTGTGTCTGTCAAGGAGTAGGCATGGCCGCCAATGAGTCCAGTGTTCCTGGTACGTGTCGTCTCTTGCTGGGGAAATAACATAAGGTCTGAGTGGAGTTGAAGTTGCAATGCAGGCATATCCGCCTATCCGTCTCATGAAATATATATGTACCATCTTTTTGGCAACTTACTGCTAACACAAAATAAAGGATAAATATACAGACAAACATATATCTAGATGAAACTGAGGGTGACAAAATATTTCAATAGGATAGAGTACATGATTCTGAAAGGTATATGGATACAAATATGGATAAGATAGTAATGTATTGCAAGGACATGTTGTATTGATACTATGCTGGTATTTTCGATGGTATTTTGTACCTATGACATATTCAATGCTATACTGAATGCAGTGAGGAACACATTTTACCCACGGAGAATCCAACACAAGTCGTTTGTCCGATGAACCATGAAAAACTAAGAACGATTTCACATTTATTGTTGTTAACTATTTCATGTCGCCTTATCTTGAAGCTGACATGATTCAATTTGCATGAATTTGTTAAGAAATTAGGGGACCTGTACCCCCACCCTAGCTCGATACTCACAAGAAGAGAACAGTTGATGTGCGAGCCCTTCTCCAAGATCTGCTTCAGTCTATGAAACAGACGATGTGGGTCTGGCTTGTTAGATTTTAAACTGATTATCTCAGTCACGCCTCCTGTCAGCGTGAGGCAGGCATCACTTGTGTACCCTCCTTCATCACCCACCTCATTATACGACCCATAGTGTCTAAACAGATGAAACACGAACTTCATTGTTCGAGCCATAGTGTCTAAACTAATGAAACACAAACTTCATTGTTCGAGCCGTAGTGTCTAAACTGATGAAACACAAACTTCATTCTTCGAGCCATAGTGTCTAACAGATTGTACATATTCTTCACTGTACGTCCCGTAGTGTCTAAACAGATGAAGCACAATCTTCAGTGTACGACCCATAGTATCTAAACGGATGGTACACATACTTCATTTGCCCGTGAAGCATAGTGCCTAAACATATGGTACATATATTTCATTTGCTTGTTGAACATAGTTTCTCAACAAATGGTACATATACTTCCTTGTGTACGACCCATAGTGTCTAAGTAAATTGTACAAATACTTCATTGCATGAGCCATATTTCTTAACAAATTGTACATGTGCTTCATTGTACGATCCACAGTGTCCAAGCAGATGGTACATATACTTCTCTTTCTTGGGACACATAGTGCGTGTAACAGATGATACATATACTTCATTTGCATTTGATTGTTTGTGGTTGAACACTTGAAGATTGTAGTGTAGTGTAAAACTATTCCCAGAGAGGGAACGTGACAATACGTCATTCAAATTTTTTTTATGTCTACCTATGTTTTAATCGTAGAATGGGTGTTCCATTTATATTAGGGAAAACTTCACAATATGTTAAACACCTAAATGGATGATGTAAATCCAGTTCGGGTCCATTCAGGTAGCAAAGGCTTTTAAGTCTCCACGGTCACTTGATCTAGCTTCAGGAGCTGGCGATTTCTTGCCGTTTTCACATTGGTTACTTTTCCGTAGGGTGTTCTCTTCTTATGGTTTAAATAAAAATCTGAATGACTGACTGAGTTTGTTTTACGCCGCTTTTAGCAATATTCCAGCAATATCACGGCGGGGGACATCAGACATGGGCTTCACACATTGTACCCATGTGGGGAATCGAACCCGGTTTTCGGCGTGACGAGCCAACGCTTTAACCACTCGGCCACCCCACCGCCCCTAAGTACAAATCTGTAATACTCCGGCTGTATTACTGTTCATCGTCGACAGTTTAGTGTATACATTAAGTTCATGAATATGTAATAGACAGATCCAACAGTACACAGCTTGTTTTAATCTTCCATTGGTTAATCCTTACCAAGAACAGTTTATGTTCAGTAACAAATACAGTTAAAGAGTGTGTGGGTTTATGGCCAATTTGAAAGGTATTCCAACTACATCAGGACGTGGCAACAAAGCCCGATGTGATACAGGTGCCTAACCTTCACACTGAATGTACCCAAGAGACTAAAGAAACAAACTGCCTGAGTTTAGTCATACTTGGCCAGGGCTTTTTCCATTAAGGGCACCCACATCTCGTTCATGTCTGTGCCGGAAGTTGCTCCATACAGCCGGAGCTTATTGTTCCTGTAATACACAGGCAGAAAGTCGTCAGTGTAGATGTCCTTCCACTGCCCAAACACCCAAAACCTGCAGTGGAAGACTCCGTCTGTCAGGGGCCTGTAGGAATCCTCGTTGATAACCTGAAACAATTTGGGCCACACTGTCATAATTTGTGTTTTAGTTATGCAACCAAATGCAAAAATCCTGAGATAAATACCCAGTTATGGTACCGTAAACCGAAGAATTGTATTAAAGTTGAATTGGGGAATTGAACCAACAATCAAATCATGTTTGCACAAGACCTTGTTTAAACATAAACAACTATGTCACCAATGCCGTACAAAACATGCTCGTATACTGTGCCATAGTGACGACTATTTTAAACTGAGATTCACAGATCTAGTGGATCGCCTAGTTCGACTTCAGTGACAAAAAGTGAACCATTCCATACAACCACCCAGTCATTTAATCGCCCCTTGTGACAACTATACATTAATGGACAGCCTTTATCCTACAATCACCAAAGGGGCGTGAAACCCGCAATACATGAGTTTGGATCAACGAAACCTGTTTCTACCGCTTCGCACTTGATGAAACCCTTGATGTCAACACTATACTGACAAAGTGAATATCGTAATTGTTCCTAATCCGGGATATGATCCCCGCGCTACCTACCTTCTTACAAGCATCTGGCTTGTCAGCAATATCGGCTAGCTTGGCCAAAAACCAACAAGTGCCGAAGCTCTGCTGCTTGACATCAAACCGGCCGGTGCCAGCAGAGAAGAGAACTGGCGATTCGACGATGTCCTAGGAAGGTAAAAACACGTGACATCGATATCTGAACATGGGTAAATTGATTGAAAACAGTCACCAAACCACTGTAAGCTTTATGTTAAAAACACAACTATGGTATACATATCACATACATGTACATCGATATCGGAACTTTTATTTGATTGGTTCTTTTTTACCCCCAATGAAACATGGGTGTACTTTTTCATTTGCCTGTCAAGACACAATTTTACAACACGCAAATTCAATTAACAGAAACAGTCCTTACATCTGAACAGTTGTCCAAAATAACAAAAGATAACAGCATTATTTCCTACAATCTCTACCTGACCATAAAAGTTTGTGCCTGTTCACAACTACCAAATCAAAACGTAAGACAGATGTATACGGACCGTAACGGCAGCCTTGTGAATAAAACCTTCTCTCGCTACTCTTAGAGTAGCGAAGCTCATTCAAAACGACGTACATTTGATTAAATGTGAAAACTACTCCTCCCAAGTTGTCATACAACAGGAATATCACTGAACCAGCGTAAAACCATAGTCAATCAAATCTCCTGCAGACAAGAGAACGTGGAGGATGTTACTTCTGGAAGTTCAACCATTGTAGACCATACGACCTCAAGAGAGGATAACGTACTTGTGGACGCATCCATTGGATTCCTTTTCAGCATACTTTTGTACTGCCACGGTCAGGGTGAAGGTGTTATCTGTCCACATCTGACCTTTGGGAACATGTGGACGGCATTGCTTGTGATCAGCCGAACCTGGTGGCCTGAAGTCTACAGTACAGACTTTAAGACCAGGAGACTCGGGGTCGTCTTGGTAAGGTCCCTGGGGAGATGCACTGCCATAGAAGTCGTCATAGCTCAGATCACTTGTAGATGAACAAGAGCCCATTCTTTGAACGCGTGGGCAACCTGAAATGGTCGATTTTATGTCCATTATGATTTAGATATCTTTATGGGTGAGTTAAAATTTATAGTCACTTTGGCAATATTTCAGCCATATCGTGACTTAATCAAGTTATAGATTAATAATAATCAAAGGTAACTACATTGGTATTAACCAAATGTCAACAAAGGACAGTAAAAATACTAGAATATCACAGATATAAATTTAAAACTAGTACGCTATCGTAAAAAAATCACTATAGACGATACAAATAAGAACGGGCTCTAGATCACCAACAACTGAAGGTAGATCACCATTCTAGGGTCCATGGGGACTTACAGTACTTTTCCTACTTGCATGGACCCCATCTGGATTTACACCATCCCTTCAGCCGATATTTCTATATGTGTTTTGTGCAAAGCGAACTTTGGATCACAATGAATTTTCTTCAGACACCTTCTGGAGACACAGTTTGCCCATGTATGTGTAACAGAGGATTCATTCTCCCTTCTGATATCGTCTGTTGCAATAAGATACCTTGGTTATTGCTTTCTCTCGGAAAATGTAGTCTAGATGATCTATTCCACGAATATACAATGGCATTTAGAAATTTACACTTGTCAAAGGGGTACACAAATTCTATGATGCAGACTACCAGTTGTCAGACTTCCATTTTTGTGGAAGCCATGATGGCTGAGTTGTTAGATAGCTGACTTTGTGTGCTGGTTATTAGGTGCCTGAATCTGAGAGTGTGGGTTCGAATACCTAATGGGACTCAACCTACAATGTAACAAACCTAATAGAATCTGTACTTTACTGAGAAAGTGTAATATATGTTGAATCTATTCCACGCCTGGCATGGCATCGTACACCTAGTATATATTAGTCCAACAAGGAGTCTTGTACAAGGTGAATGGATGATCCTGTACAAATGTGCTTCATCTGTAGCCATTATAGTTTATCTGCCAATACTTAAAGATGCATATAAATTAATACTCGGAACAGTATTCCAGTTATATCACTGTGTGCCAGCTAAATGTTGGAGGATACTTGTGTTGAATTCTAAAGGAATCTGAATGGGTCCTTCTGTTCTGGATTTGGATGGTTGCCATTGTGAATAAAGGAACTGCAATATTTAATGACCACCTTGGCACCAAGGAAGCCAACGTATTGAGTAACGCTACTTTCTCTTTCCCATTATATACTCTTCAAAAAAGGTTGGTGAACCTGAAATTTCAATTTGAATAGGAAGTATGAGCGGTAACAAATTATTCAAAGACAGACATCTTATAAACGCACCACCATTTCTCTGTATCACCAGCCCTAAACACAACGCATGGGATGCATATGCACAACGCAGTAGTCCCATATCATGGGGTATCATTTTTTTATTTCGACGTTTTGCAAGGAGGTCGAAATATAAATGCAGACAATTAAATTTGGCAGTCATCTTCCTTCACATTGTTGTTAATGTGTGTTTCTAGCCGGCTTTTTGTTTGACAAAATGAAAATCTTACACATGCAAATTTCACGTCATACACCAATCATCATTACTGTACAAACAACTATGGTCCTAAGGAAATGCAAGTGGTGATGCACTCTCAAAATATGTATTATTTATTTATTATATCAACATTGATTCACTTCCATATATCGCCGAATATTTTCAATCGTAAATTAAGAATGAAGCTGCCCTACCTTTGTTGAGAACATAATTTGACTTTCCAACCAGCCGCAGGTTGAAAGAGAATCAAAGAAAGAATTTGAAGAAATGAGAGAGTAATTGAAACATGAGGACATTTTTAATTAATCCAGCAAGCTTTCATAAGGAATCCCATAATCATTAGAACTCTCAGTTAAAAGAGTAGATGGTACGAGGTGTTTTTAGATGTTTTGGTACGAAATAAACGGTTCTTCAGCAACCCAGCTTGTCGTAAGAAGGATTGGATTGTAAGGCTCGCTGAATTGCTTGACATGTCATCGTATATCAGTTTCGTAGTTCGATTCTCATACTGTTGATCACTGGATTGACTGGTCCAGACGCGATTATTTACACACCGCCATACAGCTGAAATATTGCTGAATGTGACGTTAAACATTAAATTTACAAACGAAGTGAAGGTAACCTGTCTCAGCACTGAGAACAAATATGCTCATGCCAATAATGGTTGTCACCCCCTCCCAACCCCAACGCCCCACCACCTCACCCCCCAACCCACGCCCTTCTCCATTTAAAAAAATTGAAGGGGGTTACAATCAATATTGGCATGAGTATATATTCATGCCAATAACCAATGTCATCCCCCAGCCTGTTGATAAAATTGAAGGGGGTTACAACCATTATTGGCGCGAGTATGCATTAGGTTCATTAGGCCATACTGGCAGTGGGGTAGCCGAGTGGTTAAAGCGTTCGTTCGTCACGCTGAAGACCTGGGTTCGATTCCCCACATGGGTACAATGTGTGAAGCCCATTCGTGGTGTTCCCTGCCGTGATATTGCTGGAATATTGCTAAAAGCGGCGTAAAGACATATTCACTCGCTCGCTCGCTCACCAGGACGTATTTATCTCAGTGAGTGAGGTTTCACACCGCTTTTTGCATTATTCCAACAATATCACGGCGGGGACACCACAAATGGGCTTCACACATTGTACCTATGTGGGGAATCGAACCCGAACGCTTTAACCGCTAAGCTACCCCGCCGCCCCTATTTATCTCAGGAGATATCCTGTGACACTAGATAAACCTACGTGCGCTACGATCCACCATGTATGTAACGTATTTAATGCTAATTCCATTTCATTTGGTTTCCTTTACATGACATCTACCATGAGCACTGCATACCCAATTCCATAAGAATATATGCAGAATAATGTATAAAAGTATCAGGCCAGATCTCTATGACAGCAGTTGGGATACACACAATACCTTTACATGCTATTCGTTTATAAAGTTTGCGCTTTGAAAAACATTTTCCACAACAATGTGTTAGATTTTAACGTAAGAACAAAATTCGAAACAATTATAGTAGTACATCTGCAGTTGTGAGTGAGTGAGAGAGTTTAGTTTTACGCCGCACTCAGCAATATTCCAGCTATATGGCAGCGGTCTGTAAATAATCGAGTCTTGACCAGAGAATCCAGTGATCAGACTAAATTAAAATGGCAAAAGAGCAAAATGTGAATACTGTGAACATTTTGGAACATATATAGAAGCATCATTCAAATGTACAACAGCAGTTACGTTAATTTACTTTGGCACTCTGTTCGTTAGTATTTGTTCAACCGACTGAGTGTTTGCCTACCAGTAACTCATGATGTCTTTTTAGAAGTAGCTGGTGTTTCCTTTGACGCTGCCATGGGTCTACATCGGGTGAACAAGTTGAATTACACAAATCGACAGTTAATTTATTAATGCCTCGCCTGAATAACTTATACATAAAATCGTATAAACATAAAAAGTGACCCGCCCAAAATGGGTTATGAGAGACTATAAGGTAATAAATCACATAGAACTGAACATAAAATCAAATAGATAAAATATACATTACAAATAAGATAAATACTAAATTTAATATTTATTAATTTTGTCAAACAATAAAAATCTCCTCCTCTGTAAAACTCTTGCACGTTTTGGCAGTAAAATAAATAACGTCCGGGCATTACATAATAAAACACACATTTTCTTAACATTAGTTAAACTATCAAAATTGTTAATCACAGATTTGCATTGATATAACAGAGCTAAACGATAATAAAGTACCTCGATTGATGTTTAGCTACTCGACCGCGTGAATGACTACTTCTTTGAGAGGCATAAATGGCTACGCTGAAGTATGTCACCTCTTTCCTGGCGTGAAAAATTACACTGGTGGCTCCCGTTACTCACCTTGTATTAAACAACGTGCATGACAAGCCTAACCTGGTTCACGTGGAGCTTCACTGACGTTAATGCCTTCACTGCCTCACAGTTATTAGTTATACAGTCCATGCACAATATTCTGGTCATACAGTTTGATACGCCGATGCTTTCGTGACGAGAATTCGTGAAACGTTGAGATCAACCGTATATGACACATTTCTGGTGTCCACCGCCACGATTTAGCAGGAATATTGCTAAAAGTGGCGTAAAACTAACCCCAATCACTCCATTATTATAGAAGAAGTTTTTATTCATTTGAAGTATGTCTCTAGGCCAAAAGCCCACGATAGACTGTTCATATTATACACGTGTTTCAGAAATAATTTGCGTAAGTGCATAGATTAAGCCATTAAAACATCTCTTAGATTAAAATATCTCTTGGGAATTAATTCAGACATTAAGTTATTATAACAGTTGCATATTAAAATATAGTGACATTCATCTGCTACAGAATTACATTTGCGTACATTAAATTTTCGCTCATTTTTTGGTTCCTTATTACGTTTACCAGTTTCAATTATAAGATTACTTGAGCAACATCGCATGCGGGCCATTGCATAACTAAACCTAACGCATGTTAAAGTGATAATATATAATTCTGTTGAAAAACCTTGCTTATACATGCAGTACAAACATGCTTTAGGACTTTCTTGGACAGCAGAATTCAAGCCTTGTTCATAACAAAATTTTACTATGTTGAAAAATTCATTGACAAACATAGAAATATTGTTAATATATTGTTGCTCCTATGCATAATCAAAACCGAGCAGCATAAAATATCTCTAACATTAGAAGCGTAGTTGACCGTACCATTATATAAGAGCTTGCAATTTCATTTTGTAACTTTGTTCTAACATTTCTTAGGCATAGCGAAGACTTTACACCAATGTGAAATCACTCTTTTATATGCAAAAATATACAGAGGATAGCGACTGCATTTACGTCTAACATTATGGTTAGACGTTGACGATTTCACCCTGGGAAATCGTTGACAAGCTCACATATATGTAACCTCTATATCCGAACAAACATCTTGCCCCCCGCCGTGATATTGCTAGAATATTGCTACTATCGGCGTAAACCTAAACTCACTCACTGACTGACTGACTAAAGTATATTTATTACCTTTCAGCATTGTTAATATGAATTTTAACTGCAACGTAAGGGCATTACTGTTTATATCAACCATAGGCATTGTAAAGATACTTGACTTGAATATTACTGGCAATATTACCATAGGGACCACCTCCGTAGTGTAGTGGTTAGAGCGTCCGCCCTGATAGCGGTAGGTCGCGGGTTCGATCCCCGACCGCGTCATACCAAAAGACGTTAAAATATGGTACTTGTTGGTCCCTGCCTGGCGCTCGGCATTAATGGGTACAACAAAGACTGGTGGGCTCGGAGTCAGTATAATGTGTCTGAGTGGGGCATGCATGCTTTACTGCGGCATGGTATCTCAGTGGGCTAGCACTATAAAAAACAGCTTAAGTCTGGGCTAGTACAAGCAGCCGCACATACCCATACACACGCATGCACGTCGTCATATGAGCGAACTATTCTCCAGCACGACGTTAAACCAAATTTCACCTCACCTCACCTCACCTCACCTCACCTCACCTCACCTCACCATAAGCATTGTTAAAAACTGTTACTATTTGACTGGCGGATATTGCTAGTGATATTACCTTTATGCATTTGATCTGAAGATACTACCAGCATATTAATGGCTCAAAATGAGCTATATACGTTTGTCCAAGCCTCCATATGGAAATGCGCAGACCATATTACATGCACGATCAAATCATTATTTGGTGTATTGCATATGGTAAAGTGGAACGCCTATGTATCATTCAGCATTTGAGGGTTTACATGTACGCGATTGAAATGAGGCACACATGATTTCGCCTCTCGCTATAAATACTGATGCTACTAGCAACAAAACGAGCCTGTGCACATAGAAATGAAAACTGTTTTGCAACTCCATTGCACACCAATTCATAAAATGATGCAAAAATGAAACAAGATACAATGTATTTAGTAAACTGAATTGAAGACATACGTTTTGTAACGTCAGTGGTTTCGAATCATGACTGACAGTCCGTTGGGGAAAGTCTTAAAGTCAGTTGGCTGCGCATCTCCACTGCCGCCGAAACACCACTTCAGCACTGTTGAGACGTTATCAGAGTGTGGGAGTGAGTGAGCATGGTTTAACGTCGCTGTTAGCTATATTCCGACAATATCACGGCGGGGGACACCAGAAATGATCTTCACACATTCTGCCCATGTGGGGAAACGAACCCTGGTCTTCGGCGTGACGAGCCAACCCTTTAACCACTAGGCTACCTCACCGCCCCAGACGTCATCAGAACAATAATGAATTCGAAGTAGCCCGACGCCAAAATCAGGTCCGTCAACTTTGGTTGTGGAGAAGGATTGTTTGTGTTTACAGATGAGTCCAGAATTAATATTCCTGCATTGACGGAAGCCAGACGTACTGGCACATTGTGGAGCGTTATGCTCAGAACACGTCTACGACATCCTTGTAAGACCCACGGCCCGATCTACGGCCTATTCTGATGCTGGAACTTCGAAGGCGTGGACTCCAGCGGAGAAGGCAACACTTGGGAGCATGGGACCTGAAATGAGTTCTCTTCACAGATGTGTTACGTTTCCATTTTAACCAAGCTGATGGCAGGACACGTGTCTGTAGGCGTACAACACAACAACATAACAAACATACACGAAGAGTGAGGTGAGTGTTTAACTGATGCTGTTGTGAAGGTTTGTTCATAGTTTCCCAGACATATCGACCCAACAAGAATTAGGGGAGACTGGGATGAGTCTTTAACTGCTGCTGTTGTGAATGTATGAGCATAGTTTCCCAGACATATCGACCCAACAAGAATTAGAGGGGACTGGTCTTTAACTGATTGTGCATCGTTTCCCAGACATTAACAAGAATTAGAGCGGGTGTTGTGAAGGTTTGTTCATAGTTTCCCAGACATATCGACCCAACAAGAATTAGGGGAGACTGGGACTGGGATGTTGTGAATGTCTTTAACTGCTGCTGCTGTGAATGTATGCTGCATAGTTTCCCAGACATGTCGACCCAACAAGAATTAGAGGGGACTGGGATTGGCCTTTAACTGCGGGATGTGTTGTGAAGGTATGTTCATAGTTTCCAAGACATATCGACCCAGTCAAGAATTAGACATATGCTGACCCAACATAGTTTCCCAGACATTAGAGGGACTGGGATTGGCCTTTAACTGCTGCTGTTGTGAAGGTATGTGCATAGTTTCCCAGACATATCGACCCAACAAGAATTAGAGGAGACTGGGATTGGCCTTTAACTGCTGCTGTTGTGAAGGTATGTGCATAGTTTCCCAGACATATCGACCCAACAAGAATTAGAGGACTGGGATTGGCCTTTAACTGCTGCTGTTGAGAAGGTATGTGCATAGTTTCCCAGACATATCGACCCAACAAGAATTAGAGGACTGTGATTGGCCTTTAACTGCTGCTGTTGTGAAGGTATGTGCATAGTTTCCCAGACATATCGACCCAACAAGAATTAGAGGATTGTGATTGTCCTTTTAACTGCTGCTGTTGTGAAGGTATGTGCATAGTTTCCAAGACATATCGACCCAACAAGAATTAGAGGAGACTGGGATTGGCCTTTAACTGCTGCTGCTGTGAAGGTATGTGCATAGGTTCATAGACATATCGACCCAACAAGAATTAAGGAAGATTTAACTGTTGTGATGTTTATATGAACACTCCCTGACCGAATAAACTGAGATGTCCAGCATACAATCGCGTCTATATTCGGCGTCCAGAAGTTGAACAGTCACCGGTTTGTCTGATAAGTGTCTTGGAAAGTTGGATAATATAAATAGAACATGGAAACATGTTTGGGTTCGATATTTTATATAAGGTTTCAATGAACTCTATAAAACAAAACTCCTGTATCTTTGTATTTTTATTCTGAAGTATTAAAACTGGCAAAGATTAAAACCTCAAGTTTTAGCAAAACAGGACATTTCGTTAAAACATTTTTTTTCTTGTCCTGATCACTGCGAACACGTGTGAAGCTCAGTAGTAATGAAAGTCTATTCTGAGCTGCAACGTGGACTGCTTGAGCTGTATCGTGGACTCTTTGAGCTGTAACATTGGGCTGTTTGAGCTGCAACGTGGACTGTTTGAGTTGTAAACTCAGCCGTAACAGTTGACTGAGAACAGTGGAATGGAATCCATTCTGGGTATTTTCTGGCGTTGGCTTTTAATATTATTTAAGAGAATGCAAATTTTACTACGACTATTGTGGCTGTAAAAACGTAATATATGACAATCCAGACGATCAACTGTACATAGTGGATGACATTGATGGTTATTTGTTGAAAACTCCTTCATTAATGTTCATCGGACAACGTCGCTGAGATACTGATGTCGACTGAGTGAGTGCGTTTATTTTATGCCCCACTCAGCAATATTCCGGCTATATGGCAGCGATCTATGTAAATAATCAAGTCTGGACCAGACAATCCAGTGATGTGCATCGATCTACGCAATTGGGAACCGATGACATGTGTCAACCAAACCAGCGAGCCTGACCACCCGATCCCGTTAGTCGCCTCTTACAACAAGCATGGGTTACTGAAGATCAAGCCTAACACGAATCTTCACGGGTGATGCAGCGAAGATGTCACTGATGATGTTGAGCATATGTGGCTGTAATGCCCCTGGTCACGTGGAAGACAACGACTCGCATGCCGCTGATGATGCTACCAAGATGTAGTTAATGCTGTTGACCATATGCTGATGATGTCGCACATATGCTGACGTTGTGGAAGGTGAGTGCTGATGTCTAAGCGATGTTGAATGATCGAACTCATCGTCGTCTGCGATGGGGTAAAATCAGTCTATGTCTTGGTATTTCCCTGTTTTAAAAGAAACACACACATAGTTTAAAATAATCCATATTCGAGGGAGGTTCATTCAAGGTTGTTTGTTGTTTAATGCCACACTTAATATACCAGCTGTATGATGGCAGTCCGTAAATAGTCAAGTCTGGGCCAAACAGTATAATGATGGACACCACGAACATCGATCTACGCGACAGGTATACGATGGCGTGCATCGACCAAAACAGAGAGCCCGGGTTGCTGAGGACCAATTCCTACAAGGATCGTTCACTGTTTGGTCTGATTTTGTAAGGAACTCTGGATGAACTGTTGATTCCATAACACGATTATGATAATGATTATCGAAATTATTCAGGGGATTCCATGTACCATTCCGAACACAGGGCGAAAGGGGTACATTGAAAATGGAACTGATCAAACTACTGTTCTACGCCTACGGAACACCTCATTTGAGAACAAAACTTCACGGATTATCTCTTCAGGGAAATTGAAAATTATCTGAAATGATTCTCATGAAAAGTATAGTCACAGAACTCTTACTTGCAGTCATACAGCGGACACGGAGAGAAGACTCGTACAAGAAACTCTCTACTTGAGGCAGACTGGGAGGTTGACGGGACCACAATATAAGACCCCGGGCTCAACTGGAAGCGGAAGGTGCACTGTCGCCACCGGAAGTAATGCTCCTTCCCTTCCGTGTCATGCATCTTGATAACGGATATGCATCTATTGTCGTCACTCAACACCTGGAATATTTATACATGTTAAGGTATTTGTAAGTGTTAATAGTTAAAAACTCATGTTCAGTGTATTTTTAGGTTAAACATCCTCAGAATCGGGAAAGCAAAGGTTCATTTCGAAGGTTATTGAAAAATAACTTGTTGCATACCTGCCTAAGTACTGAATAATAAGTTAATTAAATTAAAGTTGCAGTCAAATGAACCATAAAAAACAAATATATCACTAACGGAATTTATATCACCAGTTTTATTATATTCTTAAGGCTGAAAATATTTGTGAAAATAAAAATGGTATTTTCACTGAGTAAAATATCACTTTTGCCTGGAACTAATGATAATAAAATAATAATAAAATGCGTAGTAAAATGCAGACTTACTCGATGTCTTGATCATTTATATATACTCATGCCAATAATGGTTGTCACCCCCTCCCACCCCAGCCCCCACACCTCACACCCCACCCCTCTCAATTAAAAAATTGAAGGGAGTGACAACCATTATTGGCATGAGTATACATATAAACAATGATTAAAATATTATAAATAGAATAGTTTGTTAACGTTCACAAATAACATGTATATTTCATCTCGTGGTCTGACAAAGTTGATATGTACACCACCATATAATCAAATTTGAAGTCGCAAATTTGACAACTCGGGATCGTTTATGTTCTGCAATATATTAATATTGATAAGTTATAAGGCCGATTTATGGTGCCACCAACATTAATGTTGCTGGAATACTGCGAAAAGCGGTGTGAACACTCCTTATCGAATTACGGTTCCTTGGGCTTTTGGCCCATCACCGACCATAATAATGTCTCTGCGAATGAGAGGACGTTGCGTAATCTTGTGGTTAAAGTCTTCGCTCGTCACGCTGAAGGCTCGGGTTCGATTCCCAACATGGGTACAATGTGAGAAACCCATATCTGGTGTCCCCCGAATATTGGAATATTGCTAAAAGCTGCGTAAAACCCTCCTCACTCACTCTGCTAATCAGATCCCCGCAGACACTGCCATCCAACTTCTATAAATAGTCTGAAACTGGCTTACCTATGTGCTCTTCGTTTACGTAACCTGGTATCATTATGGGTGGGACAGCAATTATATGAACCGAATTCAGATAAGTATAAAATGTACGGATTTAATGTTTCAGTCACGGATGTGTCAATACATGCATACACACCTTGAATAAATCACAGCGAATGTCATAGTAAGCCTCATGCTGAGCCGCATCCTGTATGAGGTGGGCGACAACGGCTACATCATCTCCATCTGGAAAACAAAATCAGTGAGGACCAGTCCTGTAATACATAGAACAACAGTTGACCTCGTTAATCCGAACTCCTTCTCTTTATCTTTCAAAACGATATAGCATTATTGCCCCGACATAATTCTCTACATGTTATTCTCTCTGTAAAGGGGCGGTGGGGTAGCCTAGAGGTAAACGCGTTAGCTCGTCACGCCGGGTCCGATTCCCCACATGGGTACAATATGTAAAGCCTATTTCTTGTGTACCCCGCTGTGATATTGCTGGAATATTGCTAAAAGCGGCCTAAAACCATACTCACTCACTCTGTGTAATAACCGAATGCGGAGAAAAAAAGAACATGCCCATCGAATAATGAAACTGAATATTTAACATCATAAGGGATGAATTATTTTTATTCTCATTCCATGTATACGTGGTTGGAATTTAATGAATCAAATGTCAGATGCACCTATTAAGTTCTCTTAAGTCAGACTTAAATATTTTAATTATTGAAATAAGCAACATATTCATTGAAATGAGCAATTATAAACAGGACCACACGTCCAAATTGCATGTGGATACTTGATAGTTATTGTCTGTTTGCAGTGAAAACGTACCGATGAATTTCACTATAAACAAAAAAGTAAATCGAATTAAGTGAAATTAAGATTGCGAATCCACATAATTGTACCTTGCCGATTGAACATTCAAATCTCAGAATTTTATTCAACATAGGATAAAAGTTGTTTAACAAACGATCATAGATTCAAATCGCTATTATTGGTTTGTATTACAAGGGGGTATGCACATTAAAGGTAACACCGAGAACAAGTAGGATTGGTCTAAGTTAACGCTCATCACGTACCGAACGGGCGTTTGTTTCACTGTTCCATCTACTGCGCTTACCCCCTCGTAATAAAAAGCACTATTCTAGCACGACAATGTGTGATACTCGATTCTGATTGGCTGAGAGCTCATCAAAACCGTACTTAAATGACAGTTTAAGGACCGCTAATGAAAGTGACCGATTCACCGCGTATGAATACAACGAACTCGTTGACCCTACTGTTTGTAAACAAACATGCGGGACATCGGCAATTTCTATCTCGGCAGCATCTTTGGTGTTTTTTAAGTAAAAAGCGAATGGTTTGAAGAAGAATTTCTTGACCCTAATCCCAGTGAAGAAACTACGAAGCTGGAAAATCCGTCAGCAGCGCAAAAGCGGCAGTATATTCAAAGCGGGTCCAGATCTACGTGTGTTGATCGTCGACAACACACGTCGAATACGTCTAAGCCTGACCGCTTCCGTCCGGCCGTAATGCCCAGTCCTTCCACTTCCACTGTCCATGTATTTGCTCGTTTAATGATGCACGGCACGATGCGGCGGGGACGGATTCGAAGCTGATTTCCTCGAAGAATTTTGGCAGCGTGTGTTCTTGCACGCCAAACGTTTTCGGTTTTAAATCGCTTATCAAGTCGTGCTTCAGAATGAAGATATGGCTTCTCTGTTTTCAATGTTCGCGGTCATTTTAATCGGCGATTTAAAGACCGCTAAATGCTAATGTGTCTGGTTAGCGTGAACGCGTTCGGTTAAACATTTAGCGGTCTTAGAATCAACGATAAAGGACCGCAAAATTAACGATGAACCGCAAATAAAATATCTTCTAAATAACCCGATTGAATCCATGATCGCTTGTTAAACAACTTTTATCCTAAGCTGAATAAAATTCTTGGAGCTTTTAAACACCACATTTGGCAAGGTCAGAGTGAGGATTCGCAATCTTAATTTTTGCTTAATTTGATTTGCAGCACGTTTTTATGGATGAGGGAAGTTCATCGGTAATAGTTCACATTTGTAGAGTGACTTATCCACATGTTGGAAAAAATATACAGGCGTGCTCAAACCAGATAATTGGGTGATTGATATCATAAGTTGAGTATGCATGCATAAAGAGAGTTCGAACGTACACACCATCTCCCCTTAGCTTTCTCCTACAACAAGCAAATCCTTTGCTGAAGACAAAACGAATGAATTAGTTTCTCATCAAAACGTACCTACCTTCCACCCGTGAAGATCGAGATTAGAATTGATCTTCAGCAACCCATGCTTAACGTAAGAGTGAGTGAGTGAATTTAGTTTTACGCCGCGTTTAGCAATATTTAAGCAATATCACGACGAGGGACACCAGGAATGGGCTTCACACATTGTACCCATGTGGGGAATTGAACCTGGGTCTTCGGCGGAACGAGTGAACGCTTTAACCACAAGGCTACCCCACCGCTCCTTGACGTAAGAGGGGACTAACGGGATCAATGGTCAAGCAAACAAACCTTCCCTGCGGATGGTGAAGGAAAATCGTGGGTTCCTCAATCTGTCCACTATAGTCCGTCCTTGACCAAAAGCTGTATCGCTTCTCCACTCACCAAACATCCGCAACACGTAATCTGTCAGGTGGAATGAAAAACTTTGATCATTAAAAATCTTACTGAGCTGGGACGTGACTTCACTAACAGAATAAATATTTTGATTTTTTATGCAGTCAAGTACTCGCCCCGAGCCACAGTATTCAAAACATGAGTGAGTGAGTTAAAATGTTAAGTCGGCAGTATTTCAGCCATATCGTGACTATATCCAGTTATATATGTATAAGATTTATAGGTAAATTATAAAAACCTGTCAACGAAGGACAGTAAAATAACTAGATTATCACAGATTCGAATTTAAAACTAGTAATTAAATCTAAAACAGTTTAACTATAGATGACAACACAAGGTAAAACAGGTTATAGATTGCCAACAACTGAAGGCATATCACCATACTAGGGACCGTGGGAACTTACAGTGCATTTGCTTCCTGCATGGACTCTAGCTGGGTTTACACCATCCCTTCAGATATTAAAGTAACATATATGCTGCAGTTAAAAAAAAGATTCAAAACATGAAACTGAACCAGTGGGGTCAATACCACTTACAGGCCTCCTGTAAATAACTGGGCTAAATCCAGACTCTGTGTTAATCTAAGTGTCTTTTATAAGTCATTTATTTATAATGCCCAAAATGAGTATAGCTGTGAACAGTTTACTAATACATGTACATTTTAACATTGTTAGTTGCAATGTTATCTTGTTCACTTTATTTTCTTTTTATGAATAATCGTTGATCACTGGATTGTCTGCTCCAGACTTGATTGTTTACAGACCGCCGCCATATATCTGGGATATTGCTGTGTGCGGCGTAAAACTAAACTCACTCAATTATGAATGATCACGATGACCTCTATGAACAAATTCACAAGAGAAAAACCTAGTTCTGCTGTTTTTAATGTAAAGAGGTTTTATGACGATTGTAACATTGTCAACACCTCATGCCGTGTTTGGAGTCCATTGATCGCCTTTACGATCTCTACGTCTTAGATAGGAGCGTTGATGGCTACTCTTGGCTCCGTGGATCCGCCACTAAAACATACACGCAGCTTGTGAATGAAACCAGTTCGGCAAACACCGACAACACTACGTTCGACAGTTTTCGATGCACGGAGCAATTGTTTACATTCCCTATTTGGCAAGTGTTCTCTGTTTGGAAGCTGTTCGCCTCGAAGATTCAACTATCGATTTCAGGCAAGTCGTACGGGATAATAAGTCTTTCATTACATCAATAGCTAGCTAAAGTGAGTGCATATATCTCAGTATATATAACAGAGGCCAAGATATTGTGTGAAACTGTGCCTTTAACGGTATCAAGCTATAAAATAAATGCCCGGTGGACGAGAACGCCTGATGATTGTCCTTGAACAGACACGGCAAGGAGGCAACTTACTGAGATGATCCGATCTCCCATCAATGTCGAAGTCCGGAGTAAGAGAGCAGATGGTAATCTGTTGAAAACCCGGTGAAGTCTGCTAGGCTCATCCAGAACTCCCGTCATTTTTCTCTTCAGTAGGTCTCGACCTTCCTTCACGCTTCCATTCACCGCTCCTGTGGAATTGTGACATGCATTTTAGAATACATATTGATATTGTGTGAGTCCATTTAAGAACAGACTTCCACTTTGGGTGAGTTGATTTAAGTGCAGACCTCTACTTTGTGTAAGTTGACTTAAGAACAGGCTTCCACTTTGTGAAAGTTGATTCAGAACAGACTTCAATTTTGTGTAAGTTCACTTATGAGCTGATTTCCACTTTGGGAGAGTTGATTTAAGAAAAGACTTCACATTGTATAAGTTCACTTATGAACTGATTTCCGCATTGTTGGAGTTGATTTAAGAACAGACTTCTACTTTGCACTCACCCGTCACTCCATCGTCCCGTCCACTCGTTTTCACCATGTGGATTTCGAATTCGCAGCAGAGGTACTCTGGCATTGTCAAATGTGGTCACCTGCAATACGTTGTAACCAACAAGGTTAGTTCACATATCCGTGTCAACTACATCCTTTTGAGCACCGTCGCTGGTTCGATCCCCGGCCGCGTCATACCAAAGACATTAAAATATGGTACTTGTTGGTCCCTGCCTGGCGCTCGGCATTAATGGGTACAACAAGGACTGGTCGGCTCGAGTCAGTATAATGTGTCTGAGTGGGATATTCACACTTCACTGCGGCATGGTATTTCAGTGGGCTAGCACTATAAAACCAGCTTAAGTCTGGGCTGGTACAAGCAGCCGCACATACACATACATACATGCACGTCGTCATATGAGCTAAATATTCTCAAGCACGACGTTAAACCCAATTTCACCTCACCTTTTGAGCACCGGTATTTTAGTTTCAGCGGACTGCGAGACAAAGGAGTGCTTCAATCAAAGGGCCACCCGAACACCTTGTCCGACGAAATGAGATTAAAGAAAGTACTTCAGGAAATCCCCAGTTAATTGGTTAAAATGATAATTTAAATTTTAATAAAATATGCTTGAACTTTACCACATCAGCTCCGTTGAGCGAATAGGCGTGTTGTCCGACCAGGCCCTTTGGGACATACTTTTTCTGGAAAAAAAGCAGGGACACAACTTTAAAGACAAAATCTATATATCATTACACAACAACAGTATACATTTACACCGCTTTGCAAGAGTTTCAATTCTATTTTAACCTACTTTTATACATGCACAATTAAAACAATATACATTTGTGTGTCTTCTATGCATTTTCCATTTTCACAATAGGATTATCCCTTTAAACGTCAGTACCTGTCGAGCATGAGATGTATTCTTCAAATCGAATCGAATACGCTTTAAATCGAATCAATTCAAAATCAAATTTCAAACCACCAAGTTAAATGGTTTTCGAGGAAAAGGGTAGCAGATTTGACATGAAAAGCGCATACAGTAAGCTACGGAATTTTCGTTATAACCGTAGCTCGTTATATCAATTTCGACTTTGAAATACATCAAGTGTCAAGGACCGAAAGAAACCCAGTGTGTTTGTTGTAAGAGTGTTCGTAATAAACGTAGTTTCCAGGCCCGATTTCTCGAAACAAACTTAAGTTTATACTCAAATTTCTAACTGAGTTTCACAATTTGAAACAGCTGAATTTTTATCTCAACTGCATTTTTAGAATGAAAAAGCCCAAACAAGTTAAGTAATCTATCCACCAAACTCAAATTGTCTACTATGTTTAAGTTTAATATCAATTTCAGTTCATTCTGGGAAATGCATATTCTCAAATTTGACTAAAAACTCTAACTTAAGTCAAAACTCAGACTTAAGTTTGTTTCTAGAAATCAGGGCCTACACTTACAAATATAGCACATGTTACGAGAGCACCTGTGTCCAGTGCCGCTCTGATGCGATGGTAAAGTAGCCGAGGGTCGTAGGAAGTGCTCTCAAGTCGGACGGTCTCCGGCACACCCCCAGTCAAAGCCAGATAAGCGTCGCTTGGCCATCCCCCTTCTACCACACTGTAGGACCCGTGGAATCTGGACGTAAAGAGGTAGTTTCAAACATAGTTGTGTCGAACATCCGGTTGTCTCGAAAGAAAAGATGGATAAATTCATATTTCGTATTTTGTCACCATTTGGCGGTTGTGTCGAACATCGGATAACTCGAAGTGTTTAGGTACGTCCAACAAAGCTAGACGATGTCTGACTGTATATTTGGATTACATTTGACATACTATTCCTACACACACAATAAATGTCCGCTACGATAGCACAGTAGCTTAATGGTTTCCTCATTAAAGCCGAAGACACCAGAATCTATTCTCTTGGGGCTATTTATTGTGTTCCCATCAGTAATATTGCTGGAATATTACTAAAAGCTGCATATATCAATCCAGTCTCCAGTCTCCAGTAAAATGTCTTACACATATAGTTTGGCAAGTTGTGAACTTAAGTATCATTCTCAATAATATTTTCCTTCAAAATAGAGTAAAACAACCCGGGTCTCTGAAAGTCAAAACAGTTTATTAATTAGGGGCATGGTAAATGATTTCTATCATCCACACAATAATATAGTAAATGGATCCTTCTAAATGTGAACAAAATGTGTCCTAAGATCATAACTATATTCGGTGTAATACACTTTCACGTTTTATCATACATCGGTGTTATCAATTGGAATAACTTACTTGGCCAGCGCCTTCTCCATGAGGGAAACCCACATCTCGTTGTTGCCGGAACCTGAGCCAGCACTGAGCAGAAACCTGGTACCATCATTAACCGGCAGGAAGTCGTCGATGTAGACGTCCTCCCACGTCCCCAGTCTCCACAGCCGACAGTGGAAGATACCGTCAGTCTTAGGGGTGTACGACCTGTTGCTGATCACCTGGCAGATAAGTAACCTGTCATCAATCAATGACTACAGTGAGTGGGTGAGTGAGTTTAGTTTTACGCTTATTTTGCAATACTCCAGCAATGTCACGGCGGGGAATACCAGAAATGGACTTCACATTGTACCCATGTGGAGAATCAAACCCTGTATTTTGGCATGACGAGCGAAAACTCTAACCAATAGGCCACCCCACCGTTCCTAATCTGGCTATTGGGTAGATGTTCTTACAATGGCTCCTGGTGTATATCTACCCAGTTAAGGAAAATATTATGGTAGAAAGGATTTAAGAAAATGATTAATGCAGATCTTCCAAACGTCCTCAATCTCGAGCGTTGTAGTCCATACTGACAAATCTCCACAAAATCTTTCCCCACATACCTCGGGCCCCGCCCCGTAGAAAGGATTGTGTATTTGTTCCAGAATTCCAATGAACACCGGTACATACCTTCTTAAGGAGTTCTCTATCCTCTGCAATATTTGACAGCATGGACAAGAACCAGCATGTTCCAAAACTTCCTTGGTTGATGTCGGATTTGTCAGTTCCTTCAGCAAACAGTACTGGGTGTGCGACGATATGCTGATAAGACAACGAAGAAGTTCTTGAAAGGCATTTAGAAGTAAATACATGATATGTTTATATGGATGATAACTCCATTTTATTCCTTATGTTTCAGAGCTAATTCTTGTCCTTTCATCACCTCTTCAAACATAGTACAAGGAATAAAATGAAATTGTTGAATTCATCAATCTGATGAGGGAACAAGAATTATCTCTAAAACAATAAAATGTAGTTATATTCAGCGCAATTTGACAGTACCTGTAACAATCGGGCAATTTTGACCAGACAAACCAGTGATGATATTATGAGTAGCAAGGGATATTATGTGATAACGCCCAATGAACAAAGTCCCCGTGTCTGACCACCCATCCGTTTAGTCATTTTACGACAGAAATAGCATGCTGGGTAACTCTGTTCTGACGAGCGGACCACTTAGACGAGGGAGCCAGTGGGACCAACAACAGAGAATCCAATGGAGTTATAGGCCTCGATGAAGACCAAATGATGGGACTGGATATGATACCAACGAGGTGACTAAGCAAACTATTTAGCAACTCGTTTGGTGTTTAGGTTTGTTTGTTCGGGGTTTAACGCCGCATTAGCAATACCCCAGCTATATGGCGGCGGTCTGTAATTAATCGATTCTGGACCAGACAATCCGGTGATCAACAGCATGACCATCGATCTATGTAACTTGAATACGGATGACATGTGTCGCCTCTTACGACAAGCATGGGTTGCCGAAGATCATTTCTAACCCGAATCTTCACGGGTCGGTGATTAGGTAATAGGTACAAACTCGGATATAATTACATAAGACGTAAGCAGTAGAACATACATGTGGTCTCTTCCAGTCCATGTAGAAGTCACTTGTCGCCCGTGGATACGGGAAGTCCTTGTCTGTCCACATCCGGCAACACTCGGAACACCCAGTACAGCCACATCCACTACTAGCACTGGGTCGTTGTGTCCTGCTAGTCTTTGACCCACGTGAGATCCTGAAATCCACTGAGCAATATTTCAGTGATGACCCACAAGGGTCGTCCACATACGTTCCTTCATTAACGCCGATTGCGACACCATCGTTGATGTTGTAAAACACATCGACGTTGTCATGTTTTGATGACATGCATCCCATGTTGGACTTTTGTTGAAACGGTGTCCCTCGGGATATTTCAAAAGTCGATTCACATCAACAGGAAAATAGTCTTGGATGATGATTTCGTTCACCTCCACCGTCATCAGTATTGAAAAGCCTGAAAACAAATGGTGTCTGTATTCGAAAGTATTGCAGAACTATTTGCTCATGCTACAACCACTTGTTCATCTGATCCCCGTCATAAGCCTATACTACCACTATCTCTGATAGTGTATATACACGTCCCTCACTGTCAGATCACACGCGATTCATATGTGAACTGACACTGTGTGTTTACTGCGAGTACGCATTGGTAACTATCTGGGTCACTAACGCAGGTCAGCCACAAAAACACGCAGCTGGGTAGACATATATCTCTTATATGAGACGACAACAGTAAATGTGCCCATTGCCCACAGTATTCAAGTCCATGAAAGCACTGTCGTGAGTGTTTGTGTCGATTTGCAAGTGCAATCCATGTACAGCATATGCTGTTGCTTCAAATGTTTGTGTGGCTTGCAAAACACCAGCGTACTTGAAACCACAACTGACGTCACACATGAACGACTCTCAATACATTTTATGGAGCACAAAAGCTTCGATATCAGGCCAATACAACAATACGCTATACATGTGTTTTACGGAAGCTTCACTCTGAATAGCGCGGGTTTAATGTCTAGTTTTATGTTGTGGAGATTGGAGTCTATCCCGAGGAATGAATGAGACTCTTTGGGAAACTGCTGATGCACGTCTAAAACTGATGTCTTGTATTCATCGTCAGTCGACAGAATCATAACCCACTGTAACAGATGTCGACAAATGACAGCATAACATTTATATAATGAATATGTTTTTATTAGATGTTGCTATGTTGATGGGTTGATGATGATTTTAAGGGGGTGTGGGGAGTAGGGGCGTCACTGACAAATGAATATGTTTTATTACACGTTGCTGGAGGTTGATGTGTCGAGTGTGATTACATGTTTCCCAAACAATGATGTTCTATGAAGGTGACTACGCACGTGGCTAGGTAAATGTGTTATAGATATGTGTCAAATACAGATATGAATTGTTCGAATACGTCGTACATGATAACCTGTCTATATGAATTTGGAATGAATGTATCTAACCATGCGAATGGAGATCTGGTCCTTTCAAATATCACAGCTTGATGCAAGTGAACAGTCATGTGTCACAAAAGGAAGAGGTTTTATGGATGTCAACTTCTTTATCACGAGGAGCGCAACATTTCGGAGTATCTCCTTTCTACTTCACCAGGTGAATGAATGGTATGAGGCAGAGAGCATATATATACATGTAGGAACAACAAAGATGCAGACTAAACAATGGAGACCACTGTCGTTGATGTGTGATTGGCAAAGGGCAAATGGAAGCCCGTACCTATAGTTAATTAGCGCTGAATGGACGCCAATGCAGTTATTTGCTGGTACCGTAAAGTAGACAACGTAATCACCATCATAGCCAATCAGAATGACCCAACAAAGCTCATGAAACACCCGATACACTCCAAAACGTTGTGTTCCTCATCATAAAGTATGTGACATCCATAAAACTCTCTTTCCTGTGTGCATCACTTCTAAATGTCATAGAAAGACCTCATGTATAACAAGCTGTAGTCATTGTTGACTACCCCGTAAGTTAGGTCGATGTAAAGGAAGCTGCTGTAAAACCATCCACAAAGTGCAACGACGAGAAGGTCTGACTTACATAATGTTTGTTTTTTTGTTGTTGTTTAACGCCGCACACAGCAATATTCCAACTATATGACGGCGGTCTGTATATGTTACAGTCAGATTGTGAAATCAGTCATTTCGTGAAATGACTAAGATGTCGCCAGTCTTTAGTCTTGTTATCACGGGGCGGTGGGGTAGCCTAATGGTTAAAGCGTTGGTCCGTTACGCCGAAGACCCGGGTTCGAATCCCCACATGGGCACAATGTGTGAAGCCCATTTCTGGTGTCCCCCGCCGTGATGTTGCTGGAATATTGCTAAAAGCGGCGTAAAACCATACTCAGTCAGTCTGTCTTGTTATCACTCATCCACACTACCAGCATGTCTTTTAGTTCGCCATTTGCCCTTTCAACTGATCTTGACTTTGGGGATGGCGTGGAGTACCATGTACTCGTGCTAGTTCTGGCCAGACGTGTTGACTTTCTTTAATAACAGGAGAATTGAACTCTGATCCATTATCAGATTGGAGGATCACTGGGGCACCTATCGTCAAGAAAATGTCAAATAAATGGAATGCTACTTCAGCAGCCCTTTTAGTTGTCAGCGGTCTCAATAGGCAAAACTTAGTAGTGATCTTGATATAATAACCACATTATCCAGCGAAATGGCTGACCGTCTTAGTCATTTCACGAAATGACTGATTTCACAATCTGACTGTAACATACATAAACGAATCTAGCGAGCCTGATCACATGATCCCGTTAGTCGCCTCTTTCGACAGGCATGGGTTGCTTATTCTAATCTATTTTAACCTGGATCTTCACGGGTGTTGTCAGATGTGGTATCGTTTGTGTATCTTTTCCCTACAAGAAGCAAGTTGTAATTTGAAGGAAGATGTCATCAGCGTTCTGTAATACTCTACTTTCCCATTACATAATCGCTCCATGTCATTAGTTTTCAGCCAATTTCATGTTTTCCATCTTTGAGTGAGTGAGTAAGTTCAGCTGTACGCAGCACTCAGCAATATTCCAGCTATATGGCGGTGGTCTGTAAATAATCGAATCTGAACCAGACAATCCAGTCATCAAAATCATGAGCATCGATCTACGCAAATCAGATACGATGACGTTTCTAGCTTTGAAGATTAAATACGTTATTTTGGTAGGTTCAGTTATAAAGATAGCTGGCAGCTAAAAGTGGCATAAAGGTGAAGTATCTATGTGCTAATGTAACTGGATGAGGGTGGTACAATACAAATATCGGTTATATATGTAGGAAACACTCGAAGAAAGGTATGATATGTTATGGATAACAACTTCGTTATCATATTGTGATGCAACATTATTGAAGTGATATCTTTAATGTATATCTTCATGAAAATGAAGGCATTCTTACAGAGTTTATCCTCTGTTTGACTGGCATTTTCGATGAATGATAAGAAAGGTATGATACTCCATAGATAAATATCTTCTTTATTACATTATGATGCCACGTTTCGGTATAGATTCTTCAAGCAACAGTAGCTGCATATTTTCCTCTTTGTTGTCCTCGGAGGACTCATCAACCCTGCTTGGTCCAAAGCCTGCAACTTTGATCTCCAGCAGGAAGGTCAACAGACAGTTCCGGGCAGCTAGTTTGCGGTGAACGATCTGAAACACAAGATGGACACACTCTCCTTGAACATGACGATCTAGATGTATGTCCTCCAACTTCAACGTGGAGACTGAATAAATATCCTAATCCTGACGTCGATGATTAAGATTCATACACAAGTATCCGCATGCTGAGGCATCAAGATGTATGCCCGCAGTGTCATGCATTGTGATCAATGACAAGCTGAGCTCGGCATTATGTAAGATGCACTTACCATAGCAAGGTCGATCAGGTAGATAAGTCGTCTTCACCTACAAGGTTAATTTTACATTTCAGAACCTTAGCAACCATTTACGTTCCATCTACTTCATGTAGATGTTTTCAAACTTGCATCAGAGCAATCAAAACGTCCGGCTTTGTCAGGATCCGTCCGCCTCTGGAGGGACGTGCCAAGGCTCCCCAAGGTCCATGCCGCCATTGTTACAAGATGCCGTCTTCCTGTACGTCGTGTTCTGTAGAAGATAAACAGAGAATCTCACCCGAGTGTCTTTTGATATCAAATATATCACAACGAGTTGATAAAGTAACAAGTATCCGAGGCTTGCCGAGGAAATTTTTACTTTTATCAATGAGTGTTGATATATTTGATATCAGAAGACACGAGGGTGAGACTCTATTTATCATCAAAAATCACCCTTCATTAGTTTCCAATGAAAAATGTACATCTCTGAACACAGTACTGCCATTAGATTTGCAGTGCAGCGATGTCATCAAGTTCATGACGTTATAGCATTGTCAGGGCATTGTACAAAATCTACTGTCAAAACGATATCTCCTAGGAGATATCGTCTGATCTCACACAAGCGATATCTCCAGTGGAACACAGTTTTGGATGATAAAGGAAGTAATTTAAAGCGGATATGAATTATCAGGTATGGTATGTTTGTTTGTTGTTTAACGCCATAATAGTCTAGCTATATAACGGCGGTCTGAAATAATCGCATCTGAACCAGACAATGACTGAAACCATGAGCATCAATTTACGCAGTTGGGATACGATGTGTTAAGCAAGTCAGCGAGCTCGACCACCCGATACCGTTAGTCACCTCCAACGACAAGTATGGGTAATAGTTGCTGAAGACCAATTCTAGTTCAGGTCTATTTAAGCATTTGTAGTACATTTCAAATCTTACATGATATGCCATTCTGTTGTCACGGTTCCTTTGTTTGAGAGCTGTAATCCCTGTTGGAGTCTCTACATGTGGTCTCTCCCTGCACTTCTTGTCCCGTCGAAGGAGACCGGTGAGAAGCTCAAGGCCGAGGAGTTAAAACGAAAAACAGTCATTTAGTCCCTCTGAATATATATCTAATACCCTTAATGAAAGTCACGTATTCTCCTGCGGTTCGGACGTTTATCAAAGAATAAAACACTTAAAGTCGTCCTGTACAACTGAATTAAAGCTAAACATGTATAAAATAGTTACTAATGACATTATATTTTTAAACATGAATACACACATGGGCGACGGAAAGACCCACAGTACAGGTGAATCAGACATCAGCGTCACGATCAACGTCAGAACTGGCATGTAAATACCAAATTAATCTATCGTTCTTTAAGTTATGCTACATTTTTATAAACAATGGTGAAACGAAATCCTGAAAATGAAAGTAATGCATGACACATCAATAACTACGTCTATGTTGAGGAACATTACAATGAAAATATACCATTGTTAAGTGTTTGTAGTGATGATGCTCAAAAGGTGTTTTAGTACAAAGGTGCAAGAAATGTCCACTTGCGTAAAACACATCAGATATTGTTAAAAGCGTAAAGCATGCTTACGTGACTATACATAAATGACCAGGAATGACAGCTAATTAAATAATTAATGTCTGTGATGAATGAATGCAATGATTTTATAATTTATGTAGACTCATAAGAGTTTCATTTATGCTTGGAAAAAGGAATTCAATGCCTTGTGAAATATATCAAAACAATAATTTCTTTGCTTTCTTTTCGAACGAACTGTTCACGGAAATTAAACTTAATAACAATTATGCACGTCTATTATACGGTCTGTTTGTTACAAGCTCGGCATGCTGATATTAGTCATGGTAATGGCTAAAACATGTAAAGCCAGCTAGCTTGACAGACATGCACACATAAAGCCACAGACACACAAACAGATCTAGACGCAGACGCCCCCATACAAGCTCGCACACACGCACACCATACATATGCACGGAAAGCATCGAGACAGACACACAACACCCATCTATTCACCCATATACATACATTACATAAACTATACTTATACTTATTAATAATCACAGTAATTCATTTCATGCTGTTATCAACGTTAACACAATGTGACCACACCAGTAAGGATGTCTCTCCATATGTGTGGTTTATCCATGTACACACAGCAACGGTAATGACACCATTGCCACAGCGGTGTTTATCAAACTACATGTACTATATGCAAGTACACATACAAGTAGATCTGTATACGTCACGAGGCACCATGAGATTGATCACACCTCCAATGTCAAAGAGAATATACATGGACATCATTGATCTATTCGCTGTGCATCATCATGATCTGCTGAAATGATTATTAAAGAAAAGACACAGTTGGTGAATATGTCGTGCAGTACCACCAGCAATGACAGATTATACATCGTCTTATAAAATAAACTGTTGTTTCAATTCTTTAGAGAAGTATATATTAGAATTAAACCTGATTTATGAGAAATTAAACAGCCAACTCTGATACAGCTAATACACAACAAGCAGTCATCGGTCGTCACAATCAACGCCAGAATTGGCATATGACTAATAACAAAATTCATCCGCACTTTTAAAAGCTTTTGAATTGGATGTCATACTAGACTTTTCTCACCAAAGTCTAAATCAGATACTGGCAACGAAAACAGATAACTGCTTCTGTGTTGATGAACGTTCAGTGACAATATACCACTTGATGAGAAATATTAATGCTTAAAGAGTGTTTTACAAAGGCGCCAGATAAACATTTGTAAGAAACTCATTAGATAATGTAAACTATGAAAATATGGGTGAATGAGTATGGTGTTCTTAGCATTATTCCAGCAATATCACGGCGCGGGACATCATAAATGGGCTTCCCACATCGTACCCATGTGGGGAATCGAACCCGTGTCTTCGGCGTGACCAGCGAGCGCTTTGACCACTAGGCTACCCCGACGCCCCACGAAAACTGTGCTCAGGTCACTATAAACCTGAAGGCTTCAAAACACGGCCATTGTTGTCCTGCTTGATTGGCATTTTAGAAGATGCTATTTGATGAACATAAAGAATTTACTGGATTTCATCTTCTTTTATTCTTTGATACAATGTTTCGGGACATGTTCCGGCCCCATCAATAGTTAACTGTTTACTAGTCTCACCTGATGAAGGGGGCGGAACAAGCCGCGAAACGTTGTATCAAAGAATAAAAGAAGATGAAATCCAGAAAATTCTTTAAGTTGTTACCTGTTGTGACGGTCACCGGGACAGCCCTGCTCTTGAACTCCCCATACTGGGAAATAACCACAATTTTGTAGGCTGTGTCTGGCTGGAGGCCGACCAGAGTGTGGGTGGTCGCTGTCTTGTGCAGTAGGGTCATCTCGGTCCGTCCATTAACTTCGTAGTTGATCCACATCTCTGTCCGGTTGTAGCAGCTGAGGGCGTGTTTCCACGTCAGGGTCACTAGGTTGGTTTCCTTCCTCGTAACAGTCACATTTACAGGGGCTAGCGCTGATACAAACAAATTAGATCACTGGACCACTCATTTGGATAAATCTGCTTCATATTCCTTAAAACACCAACAATAGGAAACCCTGCCCACAAGTTTAAAACCGGGTCCACTGTACGAGCCCGTCTATTTCGTAAGTAGTTGTTAGGAGTAAGCGTATCCAGCCACATGGGTGTTACTCGACACAATACCCGTGAAGGTCCGGGTTAGAATATTGATCTTTAGAAACCCATGCTTGTCGTAAGAGGCGACTAACGGGATCGGCTGGTCGGGCTCGCTGACTTGGTTGACACATGTCATCGGTTCCCAATTGCACAGATCGATGCTCATGCTGTTGATCACTGGATTGTCTGGTCCATACTCGATTATTTACTGACCGCCGCCATATAGCTGGAATATTGCTGAGTGCGGCGTAAAACTAAACTCACTCACTACTCGATATAAACACATGCGCAGGACGGTCAAGGATTCAACAAACACAGACACAAGTAGAACAATGTAATTGCTTTCGGTTGTTAGGTAGCGCGAGGTTCGTAGTCACATAGCAAGGTGAGATAGTATGTGTATACACAGTGTGTCCGCGTCCCTGGTATTAAATATGGACACACAGGTCAATTTCTATTTACATTCGTAAGAGGCGACTAACGGGATCGGGTGGTCAGGCTCGCTGACTTGGTTCACATGTCATTGATTCCCAATTGCGCAGATCGATGCTCACGCTGTTGATCCCTGGATTGTCTGGTCCAGACTCGATTATTTACAGACCGCTGCCATATAGCTGGAATATTGCTGAGTGTGGCGTAAAACTAAACTCACTCACTCACTCACTATTTACATTCACATTATTATCCTACTCACAGGCTAGTGTTCCATTCAGTGTGTCTAGTTGATCCACCTATAACGAAGAAAAGCACAAATTCAGCAAATTGCATAGATTAACACTGTCAAAAGAACCAAAACAGCAGTATCCCACCATAACGTTTTTGTGTATGTACTTATTCAACTGAATTTGTATGAAATCTACCCGGTGTAAACATCGTAGTTCCTGGAAAAACTTATTATCTTTCTGTATCAAATACTAAGCTCTATATCATAAGCCTTTCTTTTATATACTATACAAAAATAGGGTTATATGTACATTTTAAAGTTATGAATAATGATATATTTATTCATTGACACACTGACACAATATCAATCATAAAAATACCAACATCCCTAACTTATTTTGTCAGTATATTGTAACCACACTCACAGTGAAACTCCTTGTTGTATGGAGTCCCGCCATGTTCACGAAGTTCATGTCCATTGTCACCGTCTTCCCTTCCAACATTGGGTGCTTCAACCAGCAGTTGCTGATGGGCAGGAACTGCGTCTTGTTGAAGCAGACTGGATTGACGGTGGTGCAGTAACACGTTGTAAAACCATTACAGGACTGCGGAGAAAGATGAAAGGATATAGCAGGTGAAAATGAACGATAACAACTGTTAAACGATTCACACGGTGTACTTACATTTACAGTCCTGAGAGGCAATGTTTCATTAACAATCACGAGGTTGCTGCCTATCTTCTTGACGATAAGTTCCACACGTTTCATACCACTCTGCATGTCCCGAACGTTTACTTCAACACTGGAATCAGAGAAGTCACACATTAGTCTTGGTGGGTTTTTTCTAATTTTAGGGTAACCTTATAAGACAAAATACATCAAGGTACGTCCTAGTTCGTCCAGCATGTGAGGTAGATGTGGTGAGGTAAATGTATGAAGAAATGAGTGAATAAGTGAGTGAGTGAGTGAGTGAGCTAGGATTTTAAGGCACATCGGCAGTATGAAGAAATGAAAACAATCATTGTTTCAGCTACAGCGACCTTTCGAAATAGTTTTAAAACTGAATGGTGTTAGAAGACTGTAATAATCTTTTCATTCGAATGACAATAAAGCTAACCTAAAACATATGTACGATAAAGGGTACTTTATATTTGCAACATCACTGGCAAATGCATAAAAGTAAGGAAACGTCCCAGTCTGAATTTCTTTATCTTCTAATTAGGGCTTAGCTATCTCCTAATTAGGTGATACTCTCTCCTAATTAGGTAATAAATTCAGGCTGTGGCACTAGGACTCTTCCGTACGATCAGTTTGTTATTTCCTATCAAACAAGTGGCTTCAATTCCGAGATCAATTGCTTGACCATGTGTTTCTGGTTCCATATCTCGGCAGGATGCCAGATGCACAACAAATATACAAGCGTGAGCAACGTAGCAACAATGTTCAAATACTACAGGATATGTATACAACTAGTGAACCAACAATGTTCAAATACTACAGCATATGTATACAGCTAGTGAACCAACAGTGTTCAAATACTACAGGATATGTATACTGCTAGTGAACCAACAATGTTCAAATACTACAGGATATGTATACAGCTAGTGAACCAACAATGTTCAAATACTACAGGATATGTGTACAGCTACTGAACCAACAATGTTCAAATACTACAGGATATGTATACAACTACTCACGTTGAACTGAAGGGGACGTTGTTTGTCTGGACGTTCCTCCTGAACACAGGCTCTTCGACTTCAGGCGGTGTATCATCAAAATGGACCCTCGTCGAATCTACCCGGCTGTTACCTAGGACGTCTGTACCTCTCACCCAAACTGTCACCGTGTCCTTGTTCGTCAGTGGGTATAGGTGTAAACCTATCAATCAGAAAAGAATATTCGTTATTTCAGAACAAACATTGCATTCACGTGATATAGATGAATGCATTTCCTGAGACTTCACATATAGTATTTACCCCAAATATATGTAAACATATAATGAAGTATAGCTTGTCCTACATATATCAAATAGATGTGTCAAGATACCAATAATATTATGTCGAGTTCTTTTCTTGCAATAATATTAATGTGAGAAAGTATCCTGAATATATCACCTGCTGCATGATATTGAATAGGTTACCTGGAGGTATGGTATATGTTTCACTGAGTCCAACATCAGTCCAGCCTGTGGCTGGTTCCGTCTGATTCACACCACCGTTGCTGTCCTTCGCATAAGCTATCTCAAACTTGACAACACCTCTCTTGTTTGATATTGCGTCTACTGTCCTGTCTCCTTCGTGGTCATCCTGTCCGGACGCTCTGGGGATGTTCTTCAAGAAGTCTTCGAGCTGTGGGGGATAGGCGAGAACTTGGTTCAACCACTTGCCCTGCTCGTGCATCAGGTTGACAAAGCGGTTGGTCCACTTTACCTTGATTTCCCTAGATGGATCATCTTGCCAGTTGTACCCGCCATTAGGATCCGCCGAAGATATGTATAGACGGTTGTCTGCCCCTGTATCTATAGTAACACTGGACACGGGGTCGTATATGGCGATTCTCCTGACAAAGACAGAGTTATTGGCCTTGTCCGAGGCCTCCAGGATGAAGGAGTACACTCCAGGAGCAGTTGGTGTGTAGTTGGCTTGGAAGGAGTTGGAGGCAGATGACGACTGATTGACTTCAACAGGTCCATATATGGGATTCAAGGGTTCATACTCCTTCAGAACCTGGTTCCCATCCACCTGTAGTTTAAATACCTCCCAGGCATAGCGGTACACGCCAGAAAGAACATCATTCCAGTTGGACCAGCGGAGATTGATTGGACTCTGAAAATGTAATGCATAACACATGTACCTGTGTCCAAAAGATAACTTAAGCTATATTTAACAGTGTTATATTAATTTGTGATTACACTGTTTAGTAAGGGTTCAGTTCCATACGGGATTCGAACCCACACCCTCACAGTAAGGCACTTAATCGTCAGCACACAAAGTCAGACGCCTAACACGCTCAGCCACCGCGGCTTCCACAAAATGGAAGTCGGACAACTGGTAGTCAGATCATGGACTTTGTGTACCTCTCTGATAAGTGTAAACTGACACGGCTCCCACGACTGAAAGCTTTGATTACACAATGCCACTTAGAAAGTGGTCATGCTGTATTTGTGATTACACGTTCTTATTGTACCTTACTAAGAAAGTGTAATCACAAATATAGCATATGTTACATTTGACCACTTTCTAAATGGCATTGTGTATTCAATGAGTTTACCATGTCATATCCACTTAAGCTCCCAAGTGGAATAGTTTTTAGACTATTTCATGTGAAACATATACTTATCGCTATTTGTAATGTACTTTTACTTCGTTTTACAATTGGAATTTAAAAGAGTACACGTTTTTTACAACAAACTGCAACAGTTGTGTTGACCCGTTTCTTAGTTATATTTCATTACACTGCTTAATATCTATTTAACATAAATATACAATCATGTATGTCAGCAGTCATCAGTTTTGAATTTCATTTCCCCCGCATGGATTTTCAACTTCAATTTTATCTCGGAACGTCCACTTTTAAACTACACCTGTATCTAGTTTGTTGTACATTTGAAAATTGATACAAATTGCATAAAAAATATACCTATGATCTGCTCTCTTGATAATGTGTAATCAAGGTATATGGAGGAATAAGTCATCACCCTGGAAAACCCAACACCACATGTATGGCTCTGTCAACACATTAAGATGCAAGATAATACTTGAAGCGATACGGAATTTGAACCTACGATCATCAGCTTGCTGTCCTACACAAGAACATTAGACGCGACTGTGGACTGTCAGTCACATGGATGGCTCCGAGAATGTTTATGTGTTGTGCGTGCGTGGATGCTTGTATGCGTGTGTGCCTGTGTTTCCTCATATATACTATTCAAACTTTGCTAAGGATCAAATCATGGATTCAACAGAAACTTTGATGTTGGGTCAAATTTGGTTTAAATATCAAAGCTAATTGTTAGCACGGATCCTAGAATGAAAGAATTAGGAATAGCTGACTGGGTACACTTATCATGATGTCATTTCTGTCCAAAAAAATACACGCAGTCTTCAAACTGACTTTCATCGTCATTACAAAATGTATATCAGCACATATTTTATTTCACCTATTTCACTCTAGAATACCGAGCGTACAGTAGTACATATATTAGAAGATAAGAAGAAGTTTCTGAAATAATCACACGACACGGATTTTCCCCACTTTTATCTTCAGGGAGAAGTGATTACAGTTAAACGGATTATGTTATGACGTCACTTTGTCATGACGTCACAATGCAACTGTATACAAATTTTCACTGTATTTCAAATTTTCAAATTGATGATGGGTATACAACATTTGTATACAGGTTGATGGCTGTCTGTCGATTGTTCACTGTATTTGGAATATTGTTGACGAACGCAAAATGCCACGTCTAAGTGAAGCCAACCGTCATATCGCCATTGGTTTGCTTGAAGCTGGCCAGTCTCAACGTGAAGTTTGCCCGACGCGTGAATGTTCACCAAAGCACCATTTCACGTCTCTGGTGAGATATCGCCGGCAGAATGAGGTAGCAGATGCCCCTCGTAGTGGGCGACCTCGAGCTTCAGGTACCGCTCGACTTCAGGATTGAGGAGGCTTTCTGCACAGACCGTCAGGAACAGGTTGAAAGAGGCTGGTTTACGTGCCAGAAGACCTTATTTTGGCCCTGTGCTTCGACAACAACATCGTCGACATCGAGTTCAATGGTGCACCAACGTTCAGGCCTGGAACCTACCGAATTGGCGTAGAATCTGGTTCAGTGATGAATCACGATTTCTATTGGAACGACGCCTTTGAAGAATGTGGGTGTACAGACGTCGACGTGAACGTTTCGCCGACGCTTGCGTTCCCCAGGTGGACAGATTCGGACGTGGAAGTGTTATGATGTGGGGAGCGATCACCTGCCGTAGGAGAAGTGATTTGGTGATGATCCAGGGCAACCTGACAGCTCAACGGTACTGTGACGAAATCCTACGCCCACACCTCCTTCCAATCATTGATCGCCAGAGGGAGTTGTTACAACAGGACAATGCCAGGCCCCACACAGCACGTCACACTAGTGACTTCCTCCAGAACCACAACATCAATGTGCTCCCCTGGCCCACAAGATCACCCGATCGAACATCTGTGGGATGCCCTGGACATACGGGTGCGACGCCGTAACCCTCAACCCCAGACACTTCAGCAACTCGCACAGGCACTGCAGGCAGAGTGGGCTGCGATTGGGCAACACGAGATTCTGAGACTTATTCGTTCGATGCCGAGGCGATGCCGTGCAGTTCTGGATGCCCACGGTGGTCACACGAGGTATTGACTTCAGCGCCACCACACGTCTCCATGTGACACTCAAACTGACTTTCCTGGAGTTGGTGCCAAAGATTGATAAGTCTGCATTCCCAGTGTGCAATGTCGCTTTATTTCATTGACTCATAAAGCCTACAAGATGTTTCAAAATAGACATAAAAATACAGTTGAAATTCCTATATGCGTTTCTTTTTTTCGTTATATATATATATATATATATATATATATATATATATAGAGAGAGAGAGAGAGAGAGAGAGAGAGAGATAGAGAGAGAGAGAGAGATGTATATATACTAGCCACATAAAGAAACTGTGCATTGTCAAAATATTACGATAACAATGTCAAAGGTATATATAAACTTTAATGGAGGGATCATGAGACCATAACAAGTCGGGAGAATTTCAATTGAAAAGTCAATTACAATGACGTCACGAGTCCACAAGCGGGACAGGGGTCAAACGACCATGTCACAAGCTCAGTAACGGGTATGTCCACCATCGGCATTGAGAACAGCAGTGCATCGACGACGCATAGAGCCTATCAAACGTGCAAGGAAGGCTTGTGGGATGTCACGCCAGATTCTCTCAAGTTCTGTTGCAAGGTCAAGGACGTTATCTCGCGGATGAGGAAGACGGTGTAGACGTCAATCCATCTCGTCCCAAACATGCTCTATCGGGGAGAGGTCCGGTGAATTTGCAGGCCAAGGCAGTAAGTCAACGTTGTGGTGTTGCAAGAAATCCATAGCAGCCCTTGCCGTATGAGGGCAGGCATTGTCCTGTTTGAATGTTAACCCAGGGCCATGACGTTGCAGAAAAGGAATTGCCACAGGTCGAAGAATCTGATCCCTGTAGCCCACACCAGTTAAGTTGCCCTGAACAATCACTAAAGGACTTCTTTGGCGTGCTGTTATTCCACCCCAAATCATCACGGAACCACCACCAAAGCGATTCCTCTCAAAGACACTGGCTTGTGCATAACGTTCTCCCACGAGTCTATAGGCACGTTGACGTCCATCACTATGGGAAATGTTAAACCTGGACTCATCTGTAAAAACATCATTTCTCCACCAAAACAAGGGTCTGGGGACATGATTTCGGCACCACATTCGGCGAGCTTATCGATGACGTTGTTTCAGGATAGGCCGTATGGCGGGATGTCGTGGTCTGATCCCGTGATGACGTAAACGTTGTCGAACTATGTTGGGATGGATACGGCGAAGTCCTGGGATGGTTCGGGCAGTCATCACTGCAGTCTGAAACCTGTGGCGAAGATGGGTCACCCTTATCCATCTGTCCTGTCTTGGCGTTGTTACACGTGGACGTCCAGAACGTGGCCGATCGCTGACGTCATTTGTGTTCTGGTAGCGTCTCACCAGTGCAGAAATGGTGTTCCGGTGGCAGTGGAAATGTGCAACCACTTGTAGTTGAGACATTCCCCTCACGGACCATCCCAATGGCCTCATGACGTTGTGCAGACGTGAGCCTTGGCATGCTATGCGTTTCAATAGCCGTATAATTTTTTGAACGATCGCAAGGGCAGGGGTTGAGCTTTGCAAACTGACAGTATTGTGTGGCATTCATTCATTCATGTTGGATACATGTCACTAATATCTGAGTTTAAATCCGTATGTGTCTACACAGGTTTGATCAATTTAGATTTTAAATTTTTGTATGCACAGTTTCTTTATGTGCCCAGTATATATTAATATTTCCAGAAATGTGTACACACATTGTACCCTTGAGGGGAAACGAACCTGCCCGCCCTACAACACTGTGTTTCGAGCACACGACATCATTTGGACATATGTAAGTATCGAAACCTGCACGTTATGATGGTCTATGAACAATGGTCACAAGAGTGATCTTAATATTTTGTTATCTTTAGAGGATGAAACTAATTTATGACATCAAGTACTATAGTAAATATATATTCGTATCGTTCTTAAGAAGGTTTTGCTGATTACTTGACATGTTTGCATAGAGAAATGCCAGATTTAATTCATTTGAATATACATATTAAATGCCATCAACGTATATGAAAATAGATATTGATAAATTTATGTAATATTTCCGTCGTTTATAGTGAACACACATGTCGGACAAAGCGTCGCACATATGTTTAACAAAATAATCAATCGGTCACATGCACAAAATAATGATTTGCAATACTTATGCTGTAGGCCTTCTAAGCTTTGAGGGGAGGTAGGTAGGTATAGTTAAAACTTTTGCTCGTTCCCCGAAGACCGGGTTCGATTCCCCACATAGGTAGTGTTTGAAGCCCATCTCTGGTGTCCCATGCTGTGATATTGCTTGGATAAGGCATTGCTAAACGCGGCACAGAATCTCAGAATCTTATTCACTCATTCACTCACATGTCAACCTTTGATATAAAGGAGAGCATCTTACGTATCTCCATTTTCCAGAGATCTGTCGTAGTCTGGTTTGGTAATGTTACAGTAGTAGGTGTCGGAGGTGGGGTTGAGGGAAGACACAGTCGGTGTGCAGGGCAAGGTCATTTCCAGGCTGACAACAGGGTTTGAACCTAGAAAATAGTAGTAGTGAGAAGGTGTTATAGACATGGATGTTCCAAGGGGAAACACCGTAAAAGAGTAGGCATTTTAAACAGTGGTTTAATTTTGGTGTTGTTGACGTTAACTTAGTTCTAAGTGAGTGAGTGAGTTAAAATTTAACGTCACCTCGGCAATATTGCAGCCATATAGTGACGAGAAATGTTAGGCATACATAATAAATACAAGTAGGTAAATAACCAGTCATCGACGGACTGTAAAATAACTACAGTATCACAGATATGGATATAAAACTAGCATGGAATACCAAAACATTTCAATTAAAGCAGGCAATACAATATAAACTCGGGCTACAGATCGCCAACAACTGAAGGTAGATCACCATACCAGGAACAATGGAGACTTACATTACTTTTGCTACCTGCATGGACCCTAGTTGGATTTACACAATCGCTTCAGCCACTGGCGATGGTAGGAAGATTTAGCCGAAATTTAAAATAACAAAAATACTACGAATAAAAAGTATGGTTGAGCAAAATTGACTTTGAAAGATTTTGGGACTTACGTATCCTCTCAGGAGGACAATAATGTTACGCTTCTTCAACCCCCTTTGAGGATACAGCTACAACAATCTAAGTTGATGATCTGACCTACCAATTATAAAACTTTCCCTATTTACAAAACATATATATCAAAATTCATTTAACAAATCAATCTCTTAAAAATGCAATGATTAAATGATAATTAACATTATTCAAAAGGTCCTTTACTCTTTTGATATTGAAATATTTATCCCTTATGATGGAGAATTCAACACAGTATTGAGTCCTGATGTTGCATAAACGCATATAGTGACAGGTACAATAACATTACTGGCACCGTATTATCAACCCTTAAATTATCTGTTATAAACGTGTTTGGAATGTAACACATGGTATTTCTAATCCGAAATGAGTTGTTCAATCTATATCGTGTATTGACACACTATGCTAATATGCTTGTCAACAAATATGGATCCCTGTCCTACAGTGGAAGTTCACTTTGCTGATACGAGGACATTGTTAATACTCAAATGTCTTATAACTGTTATGTTTAGTGTAGGAAGAAAATTAAAATGATAGCTACCCAAACGAGAAACATAGTATCATTTGCGACGGTAGTATGTTCTTAAGTACCGTATTTAATTAATAGACGCATATCGTGAACGGTTCTCACCCGTCAACGGTAGCTTCTCGTGATGAATGTCAACTTCGGCTTTAGCAATACCGATGCCATAGCTCTTGATGAAGAAGGGCTGAGCGTGATTATCCGTCATGTAATGGGCAGACGCAGTGACGTTCACCCAGTTGAATCTCTCCCTGTTTGTCCACACGGAGTCAGCATCAGTGGCCATGGTGGAGTCCGCGTACAGGGAATACTTCTCCATGGTTGGCATCCCGGTGCCACGCTGCCAGAACGACAGTCTGGCGCCGATCTCGTAAATCTCTGGCTTCTGGGTTGATTCCACTGCAGCAGACATTACCAAAGACATTCAGTCCCTTGTTACCTAATACGGCACATTCCTAGTTTGAATTTTGGGATCTATCCACTTTGACTATATTTACAAAGTTTATTAACATTCTTTAGCTCATTACTTCCAGGGACGGTGGGATAGCCTAGTGGTTAAAGCGTTCCCTCGTCACGCCGGAGGCCTGGGCTCGATTCCCCACATGGGTACAATGCGTGAAGCCCATTCCTGTTGTTCCCCGCGGTGATGTTGCTGGGATATTGCTAAAAGCGGGGTAAAACCATACTCACTCACTCACTCACTCACTCACTCACTCAGTCATTACATCCATGTATTATGAGATATTCTGTACTCTCACACAGTTAAGCCTCGTAAAAAGGCATAAGCAAAGAAATTATTCATGGGCCTTTTAACGGACGTTTATTTTGAGGTTAAGAGGAATATACCCCTGGTTATTAACTGACTTTGTAAATGACATGATTTTATAGTGTAAACATCATGAACCAGTACATTTTCTACAATAGTCACTCGGACTAGTTGACGGAGACGTGAAGCCTGATGAACAGTCACAGTTGACACTGGAACCTGGTGTACAGATACCGGGGAAACAGGGCCTCTGGTAGTTACATACCACTGAAAAACAAAACAAAAAACTTAATATAGAACAATATGGCTAATGGCATAAAACATTGGCCATTACCATCGTCTTTAGCAAAACACACTCTCAAAACATGGCATAGAGCTTTTGAAAAACACGAGCTATTTATGCTTAATTAGTTTTCAGTTTGGAAAGAATTCGACAGTTTTCAAAACAAGATCCCCTTTTGACTTATGCCTCTATAGCAGATACAGTTTTGTCATAAAGGATATGTGGCCAAGGCATGGCACAAACAAGCACCTGAGTTATGTCAGTGACGTATATGGCGGGTGGAGATGTCCAGTTGCAGCTTGAACTGACCGGGCAAGACCGCATCCTTCACCATCATTTAGCTTCTGCAGCTTCAATATGAAGCAAATACTCAGAACATACATTTTTGTTTGTTTAAAGGAACACAGTCATTTACCAATTTACAATTCCACGTTTCTCCTTCAGCGGACGTCATAAAAATATCGCCTCAACATTACGTACACGTGTTACACGTTGGCCCCACAGCTCTATCATTACACCGACAGACGTTGGGTTGCACACAGGTACCCCCGTTCTTACAGGGAGGGTTGCAGATTGCTGGAAATACAATACCAAACTAATATTTTATAATCGAAGCCCTTTTACACAATCATATAATATTATGATATGATGTGAACTTAGCTGACCGTCAAGACTGACGGACATACCAGCAATAAAAGTTGTAGTTTTATGTTGTAATTGATCGATCTCACTTGAAAATATGTCTCATATTCAGACTCTCTAATTAATGGGAATTTCACACGCATTATTGATGTTCATCTCAAAGGGTTATAACGTTCAAAACCCCAAAGAAGACACTTTGGTAGCACAATTCCTTCAGAATGAATTTTCTCGTTACTTCAGATGTTGAGTAAGTTTTGCGAGACAATTTATGCCACTATTAAAGTGTCACCATTCAGCTTGTGTAATAACGAGGTACTGTCAAGGAGGAGCCTTACCTTGGTTACAGTTCTGGTAGGATGAGGTTCTCCAGCCAGAACAGCAGAAATATTCAGTCCGATAATCCGGCACCCAGTACCACCTGTAGTAGCAGCAGCTGAATAGAGGAAACATCTCATTGATAACGCCATACCAAACCATAGCCAATGTAGGTTTTGGGGCTTACAAACACTACATACATATCGAATACATACAGTAGGAATATTGTTACAGTGAATATGCCATAAACCTCAAATAACTACAGACGTTGAACAAACAATGAGTTATATGAGGATAATCGCTCCATCATGGAAAACAACGAAAGCATAAAATGACCCATAAGGTCTCACCTAGCCAAGCGAGTTAGTTCAAAATTGTTCATCCAGCAGAAAATGGGTACCCGGCGGAATAAGTCATGCGACTGTTTACCTTCTAGCGCCTCACAGGTAGCTTGGGTTATCAGGGTAGTAGTATCTATTTTGTTGTATGTGCTTAGAGTATGCAACTGAACGTGGAATTCACCGCCTTATTATTATGTGTTTACAGATTAAGATGAAAAATGCAGCAGAGAGGGTTCTGGTGATCCTGGCACAGTCAGGCTGGTAAAGTTCAACATCAGCTCAGGGCGCTTGCCCCTACAAGCAACCAAAAAATGCAAGACAGCGAAAAGGAACTTCTTCCATGAAGCCCCACCCAGTCGAACCCACAAATAACTTTCCGGAGAATATGGAGACTCCCCGACACTGCAGCCTTCTTGCATTACCCACAGTGTCAGAAGGGTCGTGCTTCCGGTGGAGAACCCGGCACTCTCCCCATCTGCTATAAGATACCAGGAGGTACCAGACCAAGGGCATCGAGAAGTCGGAAGTCGGACGACAGTGTACATGGGATGCAAGTGATAACATTTCAAAGTCGAGATCTGCATATTCAGCCTGTTTTCCTGAATCTTGTTAATCATATTGCCGTCAAAAGGACAGAAAATTCAATAACATAAATACATTCATTCGCTTTATGAACAGAGACACGATCAGATTTGTTGGCTGGAATTCTTCTGAGGCTCTATATGGGCCTATTCAAATGAAATCTGACAGCACGATTTGAAGCCCTGGACATGTTCAGGGTCGTACAATGGATGGACCTTGGAGTCAAAGCCACAGGCATGGCGAAGACGGTAGAAGAAACAAAGAGTCATGATATCATGTCGTTTAAGATTTGCTATTTGTGCCCAAGGAAGGGCATCGACTGACAATGTTTTGGACAGTCTCTGATAATTCATTGCACAATCGTCATGTTAACAGTTTCTTTAAGAATCACATTTATGCGATTGCGCATTGGAATTATAATACACAAAAATCACCTTTCCGAGCATGTGTTCCATTCATATGATGTCGCATAAGGTTCACCAATATAGAAATGTGCAAAATGTATTCTGTCTATAACTAATCATGTAAATTATTGTTATGACATGCACTGATTCCACATACCCCATCCACGTCCGATATGCACATCGTCTCACGCGTCTGTAGCTGCAGATTGTTCGAGAACAAACGCTCCTGAAAAACACACATACATAATCACATGAACACGAATGGCGGACAGCATGAAACGTTTCTAACCAACACTGACTAATAATACACAACATGTTCTTGCAATCAAATAAACCCGTAATATGCATCCTCCATGTAAAGAACGTCACGTTACAGTAGTTGTGATATGAGAGAGTGACCAGACCAGCCAATGTACGGGAATGAAACCGAGTGAAGCGTAATAAAATCGGCAATTTTGTCCCTTTACGATCCGAGTTCAGCGTTGGTTGGTTGCTCAGTTGGTTGGTTATTTACGCCGCACACAGTAATATTCAAGTAATACGACGGCGGTCTGTAAGAAATCGAGTCTGGACCATTCAATCCAGTGATCAAGAGCATGAGCATCAATCTACCAACCGGGCTTCACCCGATCTCCTTATTCGCGTCTTACGACAAACATTTGTTGCTGGAAACAAATTCTAACCCGGAGCTTTATGGGTCCGGGGATCAGCTACAAAAGACAGAGTGAGTGAGGTTTTACGCCGGTTTAAGCACACGTCCAGCAATATCACGACGGCGGACACCAGAAAATGGTACCCATGTGGGAAATCGACCCTGGGTGTTCGGCGTGACGAGTGAACGCATTAACCAGTGGGCACCCCCATCGCTCCAACAAAGACAGACAGACACAGCACAACTACACATACAACATAGGATCTTTGAGCAAATATATGGTCAATATATTCACAAAATACCGTTTTATATCCATAGATGCAAAGGAGAAGTCTGCATAGAAATGTGAGTCTAAATATATAGAATAATCGAAACTCGACAGCGCTTTAATACGCCATCTTGGAATATTGCCACCATATTGCCATTTTATACAGTAGACAATTATCTAAGCGTTTATAATCTGGTAGAATAGGGGTGTTGGAATAGCCTAGTGGTAGTAAGGCGTACTTTCGCACGCTGAAGACCTGGGTTCGATTCATATTTGCGGTGTCCCTACAGTCATGGTGCTTAAAACGGCTTAAACTTATATTCACTCACTCACCGTTGAATGAACCGCATCTGCAAACCCTTCTTGCGTTATCATGGTAAAAGGACAGTTCACTAACATGTCGAGGTTAGAGAATACATCGTTCCGAATGGGATCGATCAAGCACAACAGGTAATGCACTTTAGACTTAAATGTGATCATTACCAAGCGATTGTAAATCTACAATACACAAACATGTGAAAATACACATAGGAGTCACCTGTGTTTGTCCAGTCAAACACTGATACTGATTACATGTGTATGTCCTCATCCATACACTGACCAGTACTGATTACATGTGTGTTTCCCTCATTCACACATTGACCAATACTGATTACATGATTGTGTGTGTCCTCATTAACACATTGGCCAATACTGACTTCATGTGTGTGTCATCAACCATACACTGACCAATACAGATTACATGTGTGTGTCATCAACCATACACTGTCCAATACTGATTACATGTGTGTTTCATCATTCACACATTGACCAATACTGATTACATGTGTGTGTCATCAACCATACACTGACCAATACAGATTACATGTGTGTGTCATCAACCATACACTGTCCAATACTGATTACATGTGTGTGTCATCAACCATACACTGTCCAATACTTATTACATGTGTCTGTCATCAACCATACACTGACCAATACTGATTACATGTGTGTGTCATCAACCATACACTGTCCAATACTGATTACATGTGTGTGTCATCAACCATACACTGTCCAATACTGATTACATGTGTCTGCCATCAACCATACACTGACCAATACAGATTACATGTGTGTGTCATCAACCATACACTGTCCAATACTGATTACATGTGTCTGTCATCAACCATACACAGACCAATACAGATTACATGTGTCATCAACCATACACTGTCATCAACCATACACATGACCAATACTGATTACATGTGTGTGTCATCAACCATACACTGACCAATACAGATTACATGTGTGTGTCATCAACCATACACTGTCCAATACTGATTACATGTGTGTGCCATCAACCATGCACTGATCAATACTGATTACATGTGTGTGTCATCAACCATACACTGACCAGTACTGATTACATGTGTGTTTCCTCATTCACACATTGGCCAATACTGATTACATGTGTCTGTCATCAACCATACACTGATCAATACTGATTACATGTGTGTGTCATCAACTATACACTGATCAATACTGATTACATGTGTCTGTCATGAACCATACACTGATCAATACTGATTACATGTGTGTGTCCTCAACCATACACTGACCAGTCCTGATTACATGTGTGTGTCATCAACCATACACTGACCAATATTGATTACATGTTTGTGTCATCAACCATACACTGACCAGTACTGATAACATGTGTGTGTCATCAACCAGACACTGACCAATACTGATTACATGTTTGTGTCATCAACCATACACTGACCAATACTGATTACATGTGTGTGTCATCAACCATACACTTTCCAAAACTGATAACATGTGTGTGTCATCAACCGTACACTGACCAGTACTGATAACATGTGTGTGTCATCAACCGTACACTGACCAATACTGATAACATGTGTATGTCATCAACTATACACTGGCCAGTACTGATAACATGTGTGTGTCATCAACCATACACTGACCAAGACTGATTACATGTGTGTGTCATCAACCATACACTGACCAGTACTGATAACATGTGTATGTCCTCAACCAGACACTAACCAATACTGATTGCACGTGTGTTCCTCATTCACACATTGACCAATACTGATTAAACGTGTGTCCTCATTCACACACAGATCAATACTAAGTACATATGTGTAATCATTCACAAATTGGCCAATAATGATTTCATGTGTGTGCCCTCATCCACACACAGATCAATACTGATTACATATGTGTTTCCTCATTCACACACAAATCAATACTGAGTACATGTGTGTAATCATTCACAAATTGGCCAATACTGATTACATGTGTGTTTGTCCTCATCCATACACAGATCAATACCGTCTTCATGTGTATGTCCTTATCCACATACAGACCAATACTGGTTACATGAGTGTGGATATATATAGACCGATGAAGATACTATGTGTGTTTCCTCAGGCCAATACTGATTACATGTGTGTGTCCTTATACACACACAGACCAATGAATATTCCATGTGTGTCATCCAGACAATGGCCAATACTGCTTACACGTGTGTTTCCTTATCCACACAGTGACCAATGTTGATTACATGTGTGTTTTAATCCACACAAAGGCCAATACCGATTACACGTCTGTGTCCTTATCCACACACAGACCAATGACGATGCAATGTGTATGTCATCGAAACACAGACCATTACTGATTACATGTGTACACAGACTAATGAAGATACCATGTGTATTTCCTTATCTACACACTGCCCAATACTTATTACATGTGTCTGTCCTCATCCACATACTGAGCAATACTTATTGCATAAGTGTGCCTTCATCCACACATTCATCAACACTGGTACATTTGTGTGTTTTTCATTTATACAATATATACAGTACAGATTTGGAACATTATAGGTCCATAAGAAACAATCATATGTTCGTGTGCTGGCTGTTTGTCCTACGCATTGTTACACACGGATCGTACAAACTGCATAATAACTATTGTACGAGTAGAAATATTGGACACACTTTTACGTATCGTGCAGAAACATCAATATATCCAACAACGCGTACTGTGCCGTGTAATCTATACAGTAAATATGCAATAAAATTCATGATAAACTGCCAGCGTGGTTTTATTTTCAAATCTATTACGACTTTGAAACGACAGCGTACAAATACATAGCTACATTTCTCGAACGTAGAGCTGTCATATTCCTGCTTTCATAGTACGGCACGTTTTGTTTTTCGAAGAAAACTGAAAGTGTTCATTTGACAATTGGTAACTTACCCTGACCACTGAATACTGAGGTCAAGGAACGTGACCAGGATCAGCAGCTGGAAGATGTACTTTGTCTTCATTCTGGACACAAAGTAGAGCCAGCTCCGACTCTGCTCCTTGATCCAGGATGTAAATTACGCAGCGGGTGCACTCCGAATGCAGACTTTGACTGGTGCACAGGCAAGCTATATGCAACAGGCCAGGATGTAATATTTAGTTACGACCCACCACCCTCCCCTCCCTCCTTTCTCCCTCTGTGTTCTTAAATATAGAACTAAAGCCTACGGTCATGCATGGATGCCATACTAACGGCGTCGCTGTCTGAGGGCACACGAACTAACTCACTTCTGGAGTTTAGTGTTGGGTAGGGATTGGTATAAGGACAGGTGTGTCGACGGATGTTTGTTTGTTTTGTTGACGCCGCACACATCAATATTTCATGTCTTTCCAGAAGCATGGGTTGCTGAGGATAAATTAAAACGCGGATCATTACGGGTCGTTTCGTCGGATGAATTAGTCGTGTAGTGTAGGTAGGGTGGGATAGGGTTCCTGCTCTGCTCCCTAACTCTCTTCAGCATGTACTTTCCCAAATTTACCCAATACAATAACAATACTTTAATTACAGTGCCCGCCGTGATGTTGCCGGAATATTGCTAAAAGCGGCGTAAAACCATACTCACTCACTAATTACAGTGACTCATGTTATACTATACTTGCATTGATCTACAACATGATGTTCTCACATGGATGCAAATATGCAATCAATGCATAAAAAAATGTACAGAGTACTTAAGTCGATATTTGAATTACTTACATGTAATTATGCCTTCTACCAGCATTTCCCCCTTAAATCTCATTGGAGCGTTCCCGGCGGATTATTGAGACTGGTTGCTGCTATAGTTTACTTACTGCGTCAATATTTCTGCTAGAGGTTCTCATTTTTCACCGTATGTTAAGCAGTAAAATATTTTTGTAAAAGATGTAAAACTACCCGAACCCTAATTTTGCACAACCAACCTTTTTCTTGAATTGTCTTTTGTGAAATGTCACAGAATTTCTGCACTTGTATACATCATATATAATTAATGTCTCTTTTTCATGTTAAGAAAATCAGTAAACGTACCACCGTGTCACTTGATTTTGTGGTCCAATATTTTAAAGAATGGAGAGTGACGAGGATATTCCCCTATATGAAAAATAGTTCAGATGACTCAGTATGACGTGTCTTCATACATTTCCAAGATCCTAAAGCAGATTTGTGATGCCATTTCTTCAAACATATCGCCAAATTGTATATATTTAAAAATGATAATCAGTTCGAACCTCCCCTTCATTAAAGGATTAGTGACACTGAATGTGATTTAAACGTTTTATTATCATTCAATAGTGTTTGGTGAACAAGCTGTTATAGCTTATATTAACACCGCTCCCATGAAGCAAATAATACAAAGTGCACGACAGAACATAATACAGATTATCATACAAGTTAACAACTGCGTGTTAAACAGAAGCACAGAAATATGAGGAAAACTAATCGGTTTGATGTGTAATTGTTTTGATATCTAAGTCTCTGAGATTACACATGTATGAGTAATTGGTCAGCTACAATTTAGAGTGCCGGGAGAGTTAACAGTTAGTGGTACTGATTCGTATCAACTTTTGAAAAGGCAGAAAGAAATTGTGAACAACCATCTCTCGCGTTTTCCCACTGACGGAGCTGACAGCCACGTGAGAAACGGCGGCTTCGACTACGGCCACTGTAACTTTTGCTACGTATACAAGTTTCGTGGTGCATAAAGCCCTTGAGGTACATCTGCTCCAGCAGCCATGACCCAGAACCTTAGCATAATCCCAGGCACCATGTCGTCATCAACCTCAAAGAGTATCCCCCTTAGTTAGTCACATCACCATTTCGACCACACTTCAACAACCAAGCCAGACAGCAAATCAGCCCTTTCAGACCACCAACATCAGTTCCCCAGCCATCTAAAGCAGTTTGACAAAGTAGAAATCCTTTCCACGAAAAACCAGATGTCCACGAAAAGCAGGTGCTAAATGTCATCACCAGATGTGCAGTGCTGTCCCGATTGTATTCATCTATGACTCTGCCATGACAGATATGGAGAGCAGCTCGTCCAGTCCCTTACTCACTCCGAAAGACCTCTGAACGAAGTTAACACTGTTAATGTCCATTTTGGACGTCATTACAAGCGAGTCGAGAGTAAACCTTGATTCGTCAGAAGAAATGAGATGACATAAGCCGGGACATTATCTCAGTGCTGCCGTTCCCTTCACAACTGACACCTCTCACTCAGATGACCATTTTGCATAGTTCGTACGTTTAAGGTTTTGTTTGTCATCTAGTGTGGTGTCATCTGTTGAACATGCTAACTGGTGTCTTGCAGTATCTGCTGCTTGAAATGTTAGTTTCTCCTCGTTGTGGTGTTCTCTGTCTGCATCTGCTAGTGGCCATGTCCTACTACTGCATGTATCAGCTAGTACTACATTCTGCTAGTTGTAGTGCTCCATATGTTTAACTGAATTTGTCTTGCCTCACACATAAATGTCGTTTTCTGACTGGCTGAGCGCTCTTCTATTATTTTCAATGTACCCTGCTAACAAGCGAGTAACATTTTCTATGTAGCCCGCTCGGAATGCCGAACTCATTTGGTACTTCGTAGTGGTGATTGTTTATCTCGAATAACATTGAATCACGTATGATGTACGGAAATTACCGATGTTTTTGCGAATGCAAATCGATGGAAGGGAGATAAGTTTGTTTTTCTTGTCGCCTGGCACTCTATCCTATAATCACATACCCGTGCTTCAAACTGTTCAAAATTACCAATGAGGTGTTCGGTAATATAAATTCATTGTTCACTGGTCCCTCGGGGCCCATGGGTTGATGTACCCTCGATGTTTCTTTATGTTCCCCTCGCCCTTCTCGCTCAGGGAACATAAACAAACATCGAGGGTACATCAGCCCATGTCCAACTCGAGACAAGTGAACAACTTATAATGTTCCATCATTCCTAAGTCCATCAAATGGAGAATGAATACACTATGTACGACTGTGTACACCATAATACTTCTACACCATAATACTTGATATCGACCGTGTACACCATAATACTTGATATCGCACTGTTGAAATGACGAAGGATTTAAATGACAAAGCGAAGTTCGACGCTTAGCATGGATATATGTTTAAAAAATAAGAAACAAAACAAAGTCAGGTCGACATGTTAAATCAGCTTCGTGGTATCTCAAAACTATATAAAAATAACCCACCTCAGACATAATGCAATAACCTTCAATTGATGTCAACGTTGAACTTTCACCTTATCCGTGATGATCCGGGTTAGAACTGGACTTAAGCAACCCATGCTTGTCGTAAGAGGCGACTAACTTGATCGGGTGCGTCGATCGATGCTGATGATGTTGATCACTGGATTGTCTGATCCAGACTCGATTACGTACAGACCGCCGCCATATAGCTGGAACATTGCTGAGTCCGGCGTTGAAAAGATTGAGATACAAACAGAGGCATTTCACCTATTTGAAATATCCACATGACAACAAGATGCTCCAAATACACAGACAACACTACATGGTTGTCAAAGATTTCCTAACTTCAAGAGGGACTATTATAAATTGTCTGGCGCTTTCCCCCGGAGTTGTGGTTGACATAATGTATGGAACTGCCATATTGTTTCTATATTTTTGAATAATTACCCGTAATTGAGATGTGTATCTATCTCCCGATCTGCCAGACATGCGTAAATGTAACCTTGATTATGTGAAATTGCTACGTAGACACGATTTACATATGCTCCCTATCAAAAGACTCACTAGTGTAAATGTAACCACTTACTTCAGTCAACTGTTCTAAACTAGATTTTGCAAAATATTCCATACTGTTCAAAGGTACTGTTTACACATGAACTGATGCATTGTAAAACAAATTCGTAATGTTGAAATGATTATTGTCATGAGTTCAGAAAATGATGAAACTCAGTGAAAATTGGTGAATTCTTAACCAAACTTTACACCAAAACGCAGCTGTTCATACTCACGATATTTGCACATGCTTTTCAGCGATTTGATGCATGATCCTCATGCAATTCATCTTCATAAAGTTTACAGTTGGTTCCCCTCACTTAGTGGAGAAATTCATTTTCGATGTAACCTCATATATGTACATAAGATATAGTGAATGCTTTAAGTGAGTCTAAACTTTTGATGGGGAGTATATAGCATTACAGTTGCACAGTTGACCTTCACGTTGGAACATGCAGGCTTAAGATGTACGTGTACATAATAGCGAAATGGGAAGCTGCTACCGTGCTTGAAATAGGATATGCATTTGATCTGTTCGTAACCAACAAATTTGTAAATAGACACAATTCTCAATTTGCACCCCGATGAACTTCCTCTTTGTTGGATTGTTCCTTCAACGGAAGATTTTGTAATGGTGTAAGTCATCCAAATGTAAGAATAGAAATCATGATACCAGGAACTGCTGTGACACTTGCATTCAAAGCACGTGGTTATGGAATAGTGGGAAACAAGCGGACATGATGTTTTGTTTGTTTGTTTGCTTTAGCATATGTTGCTGAAGAAAAGATTCTCACCCGGATCATCACGGTTGGGATATGATGAAAATAATATAAAGCCGAAATGAATACTGGCCCACATTAGCATAAGGATAAACAATATAGTCATAATATGTCCTAGTCAAACTATCAAACTATCTGACTCTTACTGTAACTTAAGCTACAGGGAATATTACCGTAAATAGTGAAAAGTGAATTTACAATTTATAAACAAACAGAATACGTTTCACATGTTTTTATGTCTATAAAATGTATGTTACAAATAGCACATACATGGATTTGAACCACGTTGGTAATGTGAAGCTAAAACATGTTCATAATATTGCATTTATGATCGGACTGTTTAACAAACTATTTTACATTTGTTTTACATTGTACGGAATTCTTCTGCAATTGCGAAGACGGATCAAACCAGGTCCCGATTTCTAGAAACAAACTTAAGTTTGAGTTTTGACTTAAGTCAGAGTTTTAAGTTAAGAGTTTTTACTCAAATTTGAGGAAACGCAGGTAAATGCATTTCCCA